ACCCCTCGAACCCTTCATGGCGAAGAGGTCTTCGTTCTCTCCTTACTGCTTGCGGCATTCCCACCCTTCTATTTGCTTGGTGGCGTTGCACTTCATGGAACAATGGTGGGGGTACTCGATTTTCTCTTCTGTCTTCTCGTTGAACCCTAGGGTTCGGGTTTGCTTCCACTTGAAGTTGTGGTTGAGGTGCTTGAAGTCGAGCTTCAATAGCTGCCATCCTCTCATTGTTCTCGGCTCTTTGGATTTCTAGGGTTTGCAGAAGTTGCCCCAATTGAGTGGATAAAGCCTCGACTCTATCCTCCATCTTGGCGCACAAGAAAGGCCTCCAACCGCACAAGAAAATAAGATCAGGCTCCAAGAACAAGCAAGATTTGTGTAAGAAACCCTAGATAACCGTCAAGAATCACAAGATAACCATCAAGAATCTCAAGATAACCGTCAAGAATCTCAAGATAACCGCCGCTAACTTGAACCGAGCTCTGATACCACTTGATGCAATCAAAGTCACGCAGCTCTCACTCGATCAAGAACAAGGATAAAAATGGAATCCAATCGGACAGAACTTGCTTGTGGAAAGGGGCAATTGGTATGTCAAACCAATCGGACAATCCCAACTAGAAGTAAAGGGCAATTGGAAGGGTAGAACTCGCCACAACCGAAGTGGATATCCGATTGATAAGAGTTTGCATTAGCTCTCTCCAGAATCACTCAATGGAAGAAAGTAGGGCTAAAGCCTCAAAAGAGGACTCGACAATGCCTTGAATAAAATAAGATGTTTGGTGATAATTGTCTAAAAAAAACCAACGTGTTCAGCCCTTTAAATAGGCAAAGTACAACCTAAATCCGACTCCAACATGGAAAAACAATCATAAACCGACTTTAAAACAAGGAAACCCGAAAATAGCCCAGCAAACCCGTTAAGGCTGGACCCGTTAAGCAAACCCGTTAAGGCTTCTTCTTGCAATCTGCCTTCTCTCCAGCACTTCCTTCTTCTTCCATGACTTGAATCATCATACATGCTTTGGACTTCAGCAACTCCACATCCATGTCTCGAAAATAGCACTCCAAATAAGTAGCAAACTTCTCTTTGAATGCCTTAGCCTTAGCTCGAGTGATTGGCCCCTTGATGTCCTCATCATCGACCCACTTTGACCCTGAACCGGTGAGAAAAACGGGCCGCACGCACCCGTCGTGTCGACCGCTACAAGGTATCGGGTTGGAGGTCAAATTGTGTCATTTTTTCTTTGGTTTGCAAAATGCGCCTATTTTCCGATTTTTCTTTTCGCCTAACTCAATGTTTGGAATCCTTACTTGAATATTGATGTTATATAAGTGTATGTAAATTTTCACTATATGTTGGATCTAAATACGACATGTTACTTTGATGTAATGTTATATGTTATTACTCATATGTTAGATGAGATTTGATATAATTTATCAGGATAAGTACAATATAATGACTTTTCCATATTTTCGGGCTAAAATGGGTGACCCATTAACCCTTGACCCACTAGCTCGAATGGGTCCGAGTCAACCTGCGGGTTGACAACCTTGCTCCTCACCCTTTATCGTCCGGATAATCCCCGAGGGAGTCGATTCCATCAATCTCCTACGATATAGGGTTGCCCTAGGTTGAATAGAGCCTACCACATTCATCGATTCGTCGTTCCGGGTCATTGCCGAGGGAGTCTATCTCATAATGGTAGAGTAATGTAGTCAATCGAGCTTTTGATCTAGGAGGGAAACAACTCCTCACCCCATATCGTCTGAGAAATCCCCGAGGGAGTCGATTGGATCGATCTCATATGATATAGGGGTGCCCTAGGTTGAATAGGGCTCCTACTCATTCATCACTTCACCGTTCTGGGTCTGTCCCAAGGGAGTTCATCTCCTAACGGCAGGATAGTGGGTTGATCGAACTAGGAGGATACTCAACATCGATCCAAAGGTCCGAAATAGGGGGTTTAACCCAAGGGAGCTCTAAACCTTGTAAATAGCTAGGTTAGTGGTTAGTCTAGGTTAGTTAGCTTAGTTTTCCTAATCACTACTCTAGTTGGTTAGATAATGAACCCAAAACCTGAAGTAGGGTAAGCATAGATCCCCGTGGTACGATAAATTCTTATTGCTTGCTTGCCCTATGCCGCACCCAGTCGCCGGTTATACTTGGGCGGAAATTGGGATGTTGTAGTTAGATCGAGTCAGATTGCAATTTAGATCATGAATTGCAAAAGGTTGGAGAAGGGATGAGAGGAGTAAGAAAAGTGGCAAAGGACAGGGGCCACCTTGCAATGTTCAATCCCATAGTGGTAGTTGTGAAAATGAAGATGAAGGGAATGCAGAGGCGGAAGAATTAGAGTTGTAATGGTGGGGGACTAGGGGTTACCTCAATAAGGAAAGGAGAAACAATTAAAAGACTAATAGAAAAATTAATTAAGTAATCATTTTTTTATCTATTGAAAACATTATATGATAACTAACACATAGCTCAGCCTGTTGGCCTGGTTGTTCTTGTCATTCAAGTATATCTTGTTTTTCCTTGGTAGTAGTGTGGTTCTACTGCTTATAGTTGTAGGTAATGGAACTATAACCCTAATGGATCAACCTTATTTTGTCTTTACATTAATACCCTTGCACAACTTGAGTTCAAGGAGTTTCAGTGAAAAGGTGAAATCATAGTATAAGTCTAATTTTCATACAAACATAAGTGAGAGTGCATTTATCTGCATTGGTATTCTTGGTATGCTAACGAACATTATAGTTCAGGCACGTGTCCACGTAGCTTAGTCAACTACGTTCGCCAAGATGACCCAGTCCAAGTACATAGATGAACGAACATAAACGAATGCAAGAGCATGCGCTTTCTGAAACATGGAATTATTTATACATATATAATTTCTGGCAAAATTGATTGTCGTGTAGAGCTTGACCTTGTTAAGGGGAGGAAATGAAAGTTAAAATCAGAAGAGAAATTGACTCGCACGAAACTACACCACGAATTAATCCCGACTAGAGCCCAAGTTTTTAAACTCTAGTCGGGTGCAGTATAGAGAAAGTATTTAATTGTCAAACCAGGGTTGGTCCATGTACCCCTACTTCAATTGCTTAGTTTGTTATCTAGCAAACGATTTTGGGTTTAAAACTAAGAAACCTACAAATGAAACAAGCAAGTAAAGTAAATCGAGGTTGTCCCAATGAGAGAAGAGTTCACCCGGATGTTGCTCCCCCTAGCTAACAATTACAACTTGAACAATCGAACGACCGTGTGTGGTTAGGGGGTTATAAACCGCAGGGAAGTCTAACAAGCAGCCAAAGCTACCCTCTTAGCCTCTGGGTTGAGGAATGAGATGCGATCCAAGCCACTAATGTGACCCTCTCAACCTATCAACTATGGAATGGTTAGACTTCATCCTCGAATTGGAGTTCGGACGGCCACCCACAACAAAAACCCTAAGTGTACCCTTAACTAACCTAGAATAAGAGGCATAAAATGCCCAAGGAAACCCATCTCTAATAGAGATTCTTGGGTTAAGGAGGATTCTCTCTAAACTAGCTTAGGAGGCATTGAATGCCCAAGGAAACCCATCTCAAATTGAGCCTCTTCGGATAAATGAGGTTTCCTCTCTAAACTAGCCTAGGAGGCATGAAATGCCCAAGAACACCCATCTCCAATGGATCCTCTTAACCTAAGGAGGTCTCGTCTCTAAGATGGGTAAGAATGGCAATTAGATTGATAGGCTTTCACAAAACACAATCATTTCTGAATAATACCTCCACATTCACATTAAAACACAACCACACACAAATCATTCAATTCATGCAAGCATTCACGTAATTGTAGCTAGGGTTTACAAACACCCAAGTGAATAGGTAGGCTATTCTATAGCTAGGCAAACGAAAACAAGGAAAATGAGAGAAGAACCATGAAGATATGAAAATATTTCCTCCTTGTTGCTTGAATCTCCTTTGAGAAAAAGAAACCTTCACTCCTCTAGCTTGAAATGAGCCCAAATCTCCTTCCTCCTTCTTTGAATTTCACTTTCTCTCTAGATTAGAAAGAGGAAATTCTAATCTCTCACTAGAAACCCTCCTTTATTTTAAAACTAAAAACATAGAAAAAGCTCCCCACTTCCTCTTTTCAGCTCTCAATTTATACTAAGATCGCGCCGAGTTCACGGCCGTGAACATTGAAACAAGTCCGCGAACTCAGTGCTGAAACCAAAACACACTGCTTCGTTGGCTCGGGTTCACGACCTGTGGCTTCTGTTCACGGTCTTAGCGACCGTGAACAGCCTTGGCGTCAGTAACCTGAAAATTCTCTCTGGTCGCTCATCGGTTCACGGGATTTGGCTCCAATTCACGGTCTTGTAAGACCGTGAAATCCAACGTCAGGCCGTGAACATTGGTTGTCTCCTCCTCTTTTCCCGGTCTTTGCTCCTTTTCTTCCAACTTTCGACTCCGGGTTTGGTTTTACCTGCTAGGATCTGAAACACACTGAAACACAAGAAACCTCGCGTAAAACCAACCTTTTTGGAGTTCAATTGCAACAAACATCAAAGAGAATCGGGGATAAAAAGTGTACAATTATGCCCGAATCAGACATCTAGCTAGCTGGGTGGGATTGATTAAAGTATGGTTTCTTTCTAACTCCAAGAAGGCCAAGCATGCAAAACCTAAATGACAATTATACAACATGCAAGTTGCAATATTATAAACATTAGAAGTTGTGTTGGTTAAAGAAACCATAGTAGCTATACAATATATATTTTTCACTGCCTCATATAAATAGTATTAATTGAATAAGGCGTGAGGATGGAGCAGAAGACAATGGTGACAACTTAATGAATTAGTTATGTAACTCCACTAAAACTCTGCGGATCTGGCGCATTCGGCATAAAATCCCAAACAAATGAATCTTGATACGCCGTAACAATCCATCTGAAGCCTTGGATAAACCATTCTCAAATAGAGGTTTTTAAGCAGGATAATAATTTATCTAAGTTAAGTACGAACCATATTTAATCAATACCCATTAAGCAACCTAGATATGCTCATTCTCAATAAAGTAACCTAGCTTTTAACAACTTGGCTAACCCGAAAGATAGGAGATTATCTTGGTCCAATCCAACCTAGAGCATTAGTAACAATAGACTTTTCAAGCTTCAAGGCAGTGAGCGGACTGACCTGTGAAGAATTCCTCTCCAAGATCGAGAGGAAAATCATAAATATTATCCAAGATAGAGGAGGTACTTGTTAAACATCCCTGCAAATCACGCGAGAGAGAGTAAGCAACATCAGGCAGTGAGCAAATTAAGGCTAACACAACCTGAACTGAAGCGCATGTGATAATAACTTTATTTTTGCAAAGTGCATGAGCAGGATAAATCAAATAACAATCGTTGGTCCTAAGTGAGAGAAAGCAGAACCCTACTGCTAAATCTGGTCATTGCTAGTGACCACCATTCTGAAACCCATGGCTCGATATGGAGACGTAACCCAGTAAGGGAAAAGATGATGAAACAAAAGAGTATCAAGGTGGAAGGATTGACATAAGGAGAAACACAACGCAACGTAAGTGTGAGAGTTACAATGTAGAATCTATATGAGAAACCAAAATATGATGAACTGTTAAGATTAAGACTAAGGACATAGGGGTTTGTAGTAAAATGTTTCTATAGTTAACGTCCCTGGATGAAATCTACAACTTGTGGTGTTCCCTTTCTTGAGGAAATCATTTTACATTAAAAATAGTCCCTAGCAAAATAAACTTCCTCTCCTGTATTTTTCCCTAACCTCATTATGAGAGCGCTACAAATTGACATGATCAAAGACTTAAAATGGAACTTCAAAAGAAAACAGAGGAACCAAAAACCATGACCAACTGAATGGAGTGACAACATAACTTAATGAACAAAATCAAAATGCATGCTACGATCATTCTCGATAGACAAACACCAACCAAAAAGAAGAATAGATGGTTTATGAGAGAATAATAATTCTCAACTATTTCATTATTCTTAGGGTTAATATTTTCGTATGGTCTGAACTTTGATCACAATAAACATCTTGGCCAATCTTTTCGATCTATAACATCCTGGCCCGAACTATACACCAAAATAAACAATTTGGCCAAACCCGATGTTTGACCGTTAACTTAGACGGTCAACGCGCCACGTCACTGCCAAGTCAGAAGATCTGATAAATATTTATTTTTTTTAGTTTTTTTATTTTTGGTTTAACTAAGGTATTAGATGATTTTTTTAATTTATAATAATTTAAAATTAGGAAATGTGTGAAAATTGTGAATTATTTTAAATATTTTATGCTGACTTGGCAGTGACATGGCACGTTGACTAACGATCAACGCGTTTGACCGTCCAAGTTAATGGTCAAAAGTCGGATCTGGCCAAAGTGTTTATTTTGGTGTATAGTTCGGGTCAGGATGTTATAGATCAAAAAGATTGGTCATCATGTTTATTTTGGTCAAAGTTCAGGCCATACGAAAATATTAACTCTTATTCTTAGTAGGAGAATCAACGAGGAATATAGCCAACAACTTACAAACAACGGCCAAAAGTGAAATGTGAAGGCGATTCAGTTCTGGTAGTTAATAGAATATTCAGTCAACCAAAAAGGATTTAATGGTATCAGCTGAAGCAAGTGAAGATGTATGATCTAAACAATGGCGGGCCTTATACTTTATTGTATCTAACACTTGCAAGATAATGGGAGGAGAAGTTTCCTAATTTCAAAACCACTTTTAGAAAAATATCACATGGGAATAATGTGTCACTACTATATGGTATCATGTTCGGATAACAACTAACTATCTATTTATCAGGAACAATACATAACGATTGGAATCTCACAGGGGATAATTTCTTGTTGGGGGTATTATGAGCAAGGCCCAATGGGCGACGACTTGGACTTCCAAACAGCCGAATTGGGGGGCAAGGCCCAAGCAAGGTGGGGGGCACATAAAGAATAGTCGCTAGAAGCCAAAGGGGGCCAGGCTGTCAAGTGGTCCATCGTCTGCGGGCGCCTGTCACGTGCCAGAAGCCTGACAAGGCGGTTGAGATATCTGACCAGAAAGGGACAAAGCATTAAATGGAGAAAGTGAGGTGGAGAAGATCAACCTCGAACTCTGGTGAGTATAAATAGGGGCAGTTGGTAGCATTTACACAGGTTGGACTCTCTCACTAAACTCTAGTTTTGAGACACTTCTCTCTCCCTAGAAACTAACTTGGGCGTCGGAGAATTAACGGGCCCAGGCACCCCCTCTGTGTTCGTGTGTGCAGACAGGCGTCTTACAAGAAAGGGTTCGCGGAGTCGTACGAGGGTAACGTGTCACAAACATTTCTCACTACTATATGCTATCATATTCTCATAATAACTAAGTATCTATTGACCATGAGATGTACAAACCAACTGGAAATCTCAAAATTGGGCACTTCGTAGATCGTACAGAGCCAAACCTTTATGAATTTTGATGACATATTTTACCATTTTCTAAACACATCTTGAAAATGGAAGCACCAAAAAAGCAAGAACTAAGATGTTTGAGAGGATGAATCTGTCTGTAGGTTCCACCTTGAGGGAATCAATATTTGCAATTATAAAAACCCAAGACATTAGTGGTACAGGTGCCAGTGAAGAAAGTCTAATCGAATTGCGATATGAAGGACTATATACCTTAATTTCGACTTCCCTTGTCCCGCTAACTTCTTGTTGGTTTCTGTAACTTCTTGTTGCATTATACAAATATTCATCAAGAGGTTGTAGTTGGGGGGGGGAGAAGATTCGAACCTAACTGGGGTACGTGTTCAGTAAGTGGAAGATAGGAGAACCGAAGAAATTTGGAGTTACTGAGTAGCTGTCGTCGGGGGAGATGTGGCTGCAGAGTCTTGATTTTCCAGAAGTTGGCTTCCTCTTCTGTCGATGAGTATTCATTAGACAGAAGCTGTATAGGTGAGCTTTGACTTGAGACTTAGTCAAGTTGGAGGATCAACAACAGACCCAAGTGATGGTAGAATGAATTCAGTACGACCCATTACTATTGGGTTTAGAAAGAATATTTTGCCCCTCCGAGAAGTGCTCTCTGTGGAGGGTTTTGAAATGCTGGAAACTCTATTCTTTAAAACTCTTTATAGTATTGGTTGATGATTGATAATAGAGGGTAAGATTGTCATTTTGCATGCCTTTTAACAGTCAACTAACGGAATTAGTAACAGAAGGGTATATTTGTTACGCTAGAAAAATATAGGGGTATATTTGTACAAAATAATAATATAGGGGTACATAGGTTAATTAGCAATAGTAAAGGGGTACAAAATACCAAGGTTCTAAAAGGCGATAGGCGTAAGGCAGGCGCTCGGCTCTTGACTTGCGCCTTACCTGATTAGGCGTAGCCTAGGCGTTTAGAGCATAAATAGAAAAATTCTTAAATATTTTCTATTTTCTAGAATAATTCATATAATCCAAGTGCATATAAAATTAGCAATGCCTAGTTATTAACAGTAAACACTTAACATAACAAATAACAAGCAAATAGTGACCAATCATCTGCTAATAGGTGCTTATAAAGGCAAGAAGCTTGTGCTACGTACCGAGAAGGAAGGAGCAGCAATTGACGAGTTTCGACTTTATTTCCCACTATAGCAGCGGAGCAGTGTGAAGGCGAGAAGAGTGATCGATGACTTTCTCCGGTGGCGGCAGAGAGCAGCAAATGGGGCGAGAGCTAGGGCGGCAGGCGGTAGCAGATGCGGCGAGAGCTAGGGCGGCAGGCGGCAGCAGATGTTACTTCCCGTGTTTCTGATTTTCTTGGACAAAACCGCCTAAGCTCGCCAAGGAACGCCCAGACACGCCTTCTCTCCACTAGGCGCAAACTAAGCGCTATTCCATACCTACTAAGCGCTACCAGCGCCTTTTACAACGCCTATGGCCAAGTCAAGGCGATCCTCCACCGCTTAGCGCCTAATTGAGCCTAGGCGTGCGCCTAGGCGCGCCTTCTTGAACCCTGCAAAATACTATCAACCCTTTTAGTTTCTAAGTTGGGATCGAGTTTATTTTAGGTTGGGTTGGGTTGATTTTGGTTTAGTTTATTGACACTCTAAAACACAACACCAAACTGCGACCAAGTGTAATCGCAGTCCGGAAATGCAGTAAGTGGCAAGCTCTATTTGTCAACCCGGGGCCTAGATCTATTGCCTACTCCATGTTTATTTATTATCTATCAAACTAAGTCGAATGATTGTGGTTTTAATTAAAAGCAGTAAGAAAGCAGGAAATTGTTCGGTTTTCTAAAGCAAGGAAGGAGTCACTCGGGAATGAGTCTCCCTAGCTTCTTAATTAGGTCACAGTTGTAATTACTTTTGGGTTGATTAACTGTTGATTAAACTGGGAAGATCCGACAGTAGATTGGAATCTCTTAAGCTGACCAAGCCCTCTCAGTCAAACTACCCGGCAGACGACTAGTCGTCGCCGGGATAGAAAGCTGAGGCTATGAACACAGAACTCCACTACTGGAATTGAATTCCAATGCAAAGCACAAATCGGTTAACTCTTGTATAACAAATCTACCACTACCGATTGATGAGGCTCTAACAACCTAATCAGATTCTATTTATCTCAGGTTGCAGCAGAAATCAAGAAAAGATGATCAGACTTCAATTGACTCAATGAATCATACAACAATCGATTAAAATCAATCATTATAACAATCTCAAGTCATTACAATCAAGATCCCTAACACATGGAACTAGGGTTCTTCATACCCAAGTGAGAGAGGGTTCTACTCCATAGAGAGAGAGAGAGAGAGAGAGAGAGAGAGAGGAAAACAGAAATCAGAGTAGTCATACTCATAAAGATGAGGAAAATCTGCTCTAGGATGATGATCTTCACTCCTATGATGATCTCCAAGCTCGATTGATGAACCCCAGCTCCAAAATCACCTCTAGGATGTGTTCTTCGCACTTTCTCTCTCTCGGGCTCTGTTTTTCGCTCAAAAACTCGATTCCCTTTCCTTTGACTTGAAATTGCCTCAAAAACCCGATTCTGGGCAAAACACGGTCGAGGGCACGACCGTGTTTTTCTTTTGCTCGGCCGTGCCCTCGTCACGTCTCACGTGTTAAAAACATTCCCGCGTCGGCCAAAACACGTTCGTGCCTAGAGAATGACACGACTGTGTTTTGCTTCACTTCCGCCCGTGTTTTGGACTTCGCAGCAGCTCCCAAAAATCAACCCTCGGCATAAATAACACGGTCTAAAACACGACCGTATTTTTCTTTAGGCCAGCCCGTGTTTTGCTTCTTCATCAATTCAGCTCTCGCACTAAAAAAACACTGGCGTGCTCGTTCGTGTACACGACCATGTTCTTCAGGCCTCCTTCCCGTGTTTTGCCCCCAGCTCGACCGAATGACCTCCAAACGCCCCGAATCTCATGCTTAGCCTTTCCTTCGACGTCTGGGACCTGAAATATGACAAAGTAGCACAACCCCGCGTAAAATGGCCAAAAATACACGACTACGAGCCGCAAACGGATAAGAACTAAGGGTGCAAACATGTGCAAATACATCGTTATCATTTATGGTATGCGAGATATTTAATATAATTTCCTATGACATAGCTAGGGGTGGAAATCGGTACGGTATCAGTATCCCAATACCAAATATGGAAAATCCCAAATACCAAATTACACCCTAAAATCAATCTCAATCCCTAAATAATTTCGATATCCCAAACCCAAACCCTAAATATTTCGGTATCCCAATCGGTATTATCGAATACAAAATTAATTATCTTTCAAATTAATTAAATATATAAATTTGATTTTATTGCTTAATTTTGGGCAAAAGACTAAGCAAAGAGCCCTGAGTTTGCCTAAAGCTAGGATATGGATATAGAGAATGAAGGAGAAGTGACATCTCGAATGCTTGTCATTAGTAATCTTTAATTTGACAAATTGAAGGTTGAGAGATGACTAATGCTCGTGTTTGCTTTTTTGGTGTTATGAAAATAACAAGAGATTAGGTGAGAGACGAGAGTGACTTAAATTGGAAAGTCAAATTTGAGTTGGATGGGGACTTCTAAGTTGTGAAATAGTGGTGGAATGATCTATGTATAAATAATTGATATTCTTGGTGGTTGAGTGTCGTGTAGCATGAATGAGAGAGTCTAGTTGAGAGGATTAAATACATATTAGCTTATATTTCGGTATTGATCAGTATTTCGGTATATACCGATCCCAATCCAGTAATCTCTAATAATATATGACAATTGAAATTCAATCCCAATCTCAATCCAAAGAAATAATATGTGTATTCGATAATATCAAATATAGATAAATTCGGTACGATATTCGGTATATCCCAAATACTTGTACCAAACTTTCAGCCTGGCTGTTGACATGATAATTATGGATGAAAAGTGGATGGAGATTGACGGTTTGACTGATTTGTTAGTTAGTGAAAACATGAATGACCAATTTGTTAAAATATAAAAGTTAGTGACCGAATTGCTAATGACCTTTTATTCCATCAGAATTTTTCCTTTTATGCCTATGGCATAATGTTTCCATTTATAAACCATTGCCAAATTCAGAAACGATCGCAACCATCCCATAGCCAAAAATGTCGAAAACAGAGCAACTGAACCCAACGCCCGCCGACGAACGAATCAAGCAGTTGGTCTCAACGTTGCCCACAAAACCAGACTGCAATTCCACCAACAATCTTCTCTACCAATACCAAGGATTTTGGTACCACCAATTTTACCTTGAACACCTAATCGCAGCTCAAACCCACTTCACCCCTGAACCCAACACCACCATCCTCTGCAGCTACCCGAAAACCGGCACCACATGGCTCAAGGCCCTCTCTTTCGCCATAATCACAAGAACCCACTACACGCCCTCTCAATCCCCTCTCCTCTCCCGTTTCCCCCACGATTGCGTCCCTTTCTTCGAGCTCACCCCTTCGGCGGCTCGAAACAAGTCGCTCGTCGCGACCCACATCCCCTGCACTTCCTTGCCGGCCGCCGCCGCGGCTTCCGGCTGCAAGCTTGCTTACATCTGCCGAGATCCCAAGGACGTGGTGGTTTCTCTGTGGCAGTTCCAGAGAAAACAGAAGAAGGAGGACGACGACGATGGCGATGCCGCCATGGGGATCGAAGAGGCTTTCGAGCAGTTCTGTGAAGGCAATTCCGTTGCCGGGCCGTACTGGGACCATGTTCTCGGGTACTGGAGGGCGAGTTTGGAGTTCCCTGAGAGGGTTTTGTTTGTGAGATACGAGGAATTGAAGAGGGAAACGGAGAGGTGCGTGAAAGCATTGGCGGATTTTTTGGGTTGTGGGTTTAGCTTGGAGGAAGAGAAACAGGGGATTGTGCAGGGGATTATTGATCTGTGCAGCATAGAGAGCTTGAAGGGATTGGATGTGACCAAGAATGGCCGTTTCGCTCCGACGGAGAGCATGCCGTATACTATACATAACAGATCGTTTTACAGGAAGGGGGAGGTTGGGGATTGGAGGAATTTTTTAACAGAGGAGATGGGAGCTCGTTTGGATAAGATTATGGCGGATCGGTTTGCTGGGTCTGGGTTGGAACTCTGGTTTTCTGCTTCAAATTAAGAAACGACTAATTGAGCTGTGTTGCGTTTTTCTCTGGGCAATTTATATGTGATATCATGGCATTATATTGTTTGATGATGCTCTGATCATCTATTTTGTGTTTGTTACTTTGTTTCCACTTAATTCTGGACAATTTGTACTAAACTGAATGATATTTTTTTCTGAAATTTGAGGGAAAACATTAATTAATTATTATTAAATTAATTAAACTCTTACAAGAACAAGTTCGAAAACATTGTTTCATACCGTCACATCATCAAAAGTGACTATTTCGAAATTAAAGGAATGTTTGGGTGCTTGTTTGGAAATTTAGTAGATGTTTTTTGATTTGTTTTTTCTTTCTCTCTTCCTAGCCACACACTATTCTTCTTTCTTTCTCTCCTTAACCGGGACGCATTAAACACTGTTTCATAGAGCCACATCATCAAAAGTGACTATTTCGAAATTAAAGGAAAGTTTGGGTGCTTGTTTGGAAATTTAGTAGATGCTTTTTGATTTGTTTTTTCTTTCTCTCTTCCTAGCCACACAAGTATTATTCTCTCTTTCTCTCCTTAACGGGACGGGACGCGTTAGGATGATTACTCAAAATTGAGTAATCACCATGGCTACTAAAATCTAGACCCTTCATTATCTATATTTTACTCTAATTTTAAATTGACGGTGAAGATTAGAGTAAGGGTAATTTTGAGAATAAAAAAAATACCATACCTGATTTCTATCCTTTAAAAAATTAATTTCTATATATTATACCTAAACCTACTCCAACCCTATTCTATATCACCGTCAACACCTATCATTCCCTCTCACTGCCGGCAGCCACCCTCCCTCCGGCTACCCTCGCCCACCTTTGCGGGCAACCTCTCTCTCTCTCTCTCTCTCTCTCTCTCTCTCTCTCTCTCTCTCTCTCTCTCTCACATAGATGGCGGTAGAGGGGTTAGATGGTGATGCCGACAATCTGCTCCGGCCTAGGCCAGCCTTCCCCCACCCTCTCTCTCCTAACCTCCTGATCCCCCCTCTCTCTATATTTGCTTCGGCCAACCTTCCACATGCCTGCTTGTGCCAGTTGAGGATTGGTATGTATTTTTGAGGGATTGGTATATATATTTGTTTTTTGTATTGTTTTGTTTTGGTATTGATTTTTCGCATTGGTATTATTTTGTCGCAATTATATTGTTTTTATCGTATTGGTATTGATTCTGTCGCAATGGTATTATTATTGTCGCAATGGTATTGTTTTTGTCGCATTGGTATTGATTTTGTCGCAATGGTATTATTTTTATCGCATTGGTATTGTTTTTGTCGCATTGGTATTGGTGTTTTTGTAGCAATGGTATTATTTTTGTCGCATTGGTATTGATTTTGTCGCAATGGTATTATTTTTGTCGCATTGGTATTGGTGTTTTTGTGAAATGGTAGTGTTTTCATTTCTCGAATGGTATTGGTGTTTTGTGCAATGGTAGTGTTTTGTAATGGATTATTATTGTTTTATTGTTGCAGTGGTATTAGTTCGACAAAACGAAATCCATAGAAAGATTGAGAAAAAGAAGGAAGAGGCATCCTGAAGATTGTGGAAGTGAGAGAAAGAGAGAGAAAATTATAGTTAATATAATTTTGTAATTTCCTAAAATGTAATTTATTAAAAAAGGTAATTAATAAATTTTTTGTCATACCCAATCAATCCTTAGTAACCACAGTGATTACTAATTTATAATAATCAGCGTAACCTGTCCCTTAACCAACAACCCATTTTCTCTCTTTCTCTTTTTCTTTCTGTACAAGAACACAAAAAAAAAACCCCGAAGGAAGAGGAGGAAGAAGAAGATTGGTCACATATTTTCTTAATTAATCAAATATTTTAGGTATTTTCTAATTTCTTAATTTCTCTCCTTAATTTATGTGTATTCAATCTAATTTGACCCGGTTTCGATGTTGTCGAATTTTGGGTCGGGAATGATGCCCATCAATTATGGTTAATCTTTTATTTCGATAATTGAACCCAACTACATGTGTATTTCGACCCGGTTAAAGAGAGTTGAACACGAAATTGACGAATTTTGTTTAAAACTCACCCCACTTTATGTTGGAAACACATTATTTGCAGTTTTTGGTCATTTCGTATTATTGTCGGTTTTTAGTAATTGGTGGATTATTTGGGGTATTTGGGAAATAAACAGGGAGTCAATTGTTACGTTTTATTATTTGGGTAGAAGATAGGAATTATGCAGACTATATAATCTGTAGTAGTGGTCTTATTTTTCATTAAGCAATTACAGAACAAAAACCTAAAGCCTAATCTCTCTCTCTCCCTCTCTCCTACGTCTTTCTCCTCTCCCTCTCCTCTTCCAAAGCTGCGGCAGCAGCAAGCTTTCTTCCCCCTTCCCTTTGTTCTAAAATTCACAATTCCAATCCCTAGCTAGGTCAATTCCCAGTTGATCTAGCTAAATTCCCTAATCCCGAACCGTTAGAAACCTTGTTTCTAACATCTGGTATCAGAGCCCGGTTCGAGAGTGAGTTCTTTTGAGCTTTTGAACCAGGGCAAGCAACGAAAGAGGTCCCGGAATTGGACCGAATCCGGAAGAGGGCCGATGAGGAGGGGCGCGGCCAGGGGGTCGGACCGACCGCCCGGGTGTGGGCCGTGCCGAGGAGGTTTGTCCGGGCCGGGCCGAACCGGGTTGGGTCGACCAGAGTGGGTTGGACCGGGTGGAGTCGAACCGGGTCGGACCTGTTCCTGGGCGGATTAGGCGATCGGGAGTCTGGCATCAGGAGAGATCTCGGCAGGGGTTCGGGACCATCTTACCTGCCAGTTCAGGGTCCCCGTTCACCGGCAGAGTAGTGGGATGCTAGTCAGACACGGAAGGCGAGTCTGGACAAGTATGCGGAGTACCCGTTCGAGGAGGAAGAGGAGTGGGGCAGAAGCAGAGGGCCGCCAGGACCGCGGGGCTATCATGACCGAGTGTCGGGGTACGATAGGTATGACAGCTATCCTCACGGCTATGATGGCGATATGGTGTTTAGGGCCAAACCCCCTACCATTGAGTTTCCAAAATTCAATGGTCAGGAGGATGTAGGTCTATGGTTGTATGCAGCTGACAGGTGGTTCAAGAATCACCCCACCAAGGAAGAAAGGAAGGCTCACCTGACGTCCTTCTACCTAGAGGGAGACGCGTTACAGTGGTGGGAGTGGCTAGAGCGATCATGCGCAGCTGCGCAGACCTTGATCACCTGGCCCTTGTTCAAGGAAGAGCTGCGGTACCAGTTTGGAAAATCAGAAGGGTGGGCACCGGAGCAACTAGCTAAGTTGCGCCAAACTGGGACAGTAGCGGAGTACAAGGCGGAGTTCTTCAAGCTGGGCAATCAATGCAAGGGAGTGCCGGAGGAGAACCTGGTTGGGTTGTGCATGGCTGGCCTAAAGCCGGAGATAGCCGCGGCGGTTAAGGTTTTCGAGCCCGACTCGCTGCGGTCTGCTTTTCGTCTTGCAGGTTATAAGGAGGAGAAGCTGACCAGCTGGAGGAGCACGATTGGGCGGTTCCCAAAGGCAAGTGGGAGTGGAGGAGGTGGCGTTGGATCAGGCGGAGGGGGGGGGGGGGGAGGGCGAGTGCGGCCACTGGCACCGGGCTGTCGCCAGCTGGCGCAGCCATCTCGAGTAGGCAAGCAAGCACCTAGGCCACCCCCAAAAGGGTTCGTGAGGCTCTCACCACAGGAGATCGAGCAGAAGAGAAGGGAGGGCAAGTGTTTCAATTGCGACGAAAGGTTCACCGTGGGACACAAGTGCACCAAGCCCGAATTGATGATGCTGGTGGGACGTTGGGAAGATGAAGCAGAGGAGGAAGCAGCCGAAGAAGGACCGCCAGAGTTGGAGTAGGACCCAAAACCTTGAGGACAAGGTTGTTTCTGAAGAAGGCGGGGATGTTGGAAACACATTATTTGCAGTTTTTGGTCATTTCGTATTATTGCCGGTTTTTAGTAATTGAGAGATTATTTGGGAAATAAACAGGGAGTCAATTGTTACGTTTTATTATTTGGGTAGAAGATAGGAATTATGCAGACTATATAATCTGTAGTAGTGGTCTTATTTTTCATTAAGCAATTGCAGAACAAAAACCTAAAGCCTAATCTCTCTCTCTCTCTCCCTCTCTCTTGCGTCTTTCTCCTCTCCCTCCCCTCTTCCAAAGCTGCGGCAGCAGCAAGCTTTCTTCCCCTTCCCTTTGTTCTAAAATTCCCAATTCCAATCCCTAGCTAGGTCAATTCCCAGTTGATCTAGCTAAATTTCACAATCCCGAACACGTTAGAAACCTTGTTTCTAACACTTTATCAAGCAGGTCAGAGCGAGTTGAATCCAGCGCTGAATAGTTTTTGGCCGAGGATGGGTTTCACCCACGTTTGTAATTGACGGGTTGGGTCAGATGATGTCCCATCAGCTATAGTTTATCTATTATTTCGATAATTGAACCCAACTACATGTGTATTTTACCCCGATAGCGAGTTTAACACGAATTGACGCATATTTGGTAGAGAACAAATTGATGTGAACATTACCTGCCGTCAAGAAAAATTAGAACATTTTTAAATTATTTTGTTTCTCTTTTTTATTTTACACTTATCTTTTTTCCTCTCCCATAGTTCCCTTATTTCACTCTCTCTTTCCCTATTTTATAAATGAAGAGAAGTGACTTTGGTGGGTTATTTATATGAACTGCTATTTGCCGCCCGTATATTTACTATTTGCCGCCCATAATTTAAGCAAAAATTACATTTTTACCCCTTTTACATCTTGCCCTTTGGAAACCCTGTACCCACAAACCAACTCGCAGCCGCCGAAGCTTACCTCCTACACGTCGGAGAAGTTTGTCGCCGACCGCAAACCACCCTACCACAAAGATATTCCGTTAGCTAGCTAGCCTTCTCATCGCCTCTGCCTGTGATCGAATCGTCATCTTCATCCTTCGCCCGTCTTCGCATAATCATCTTCATCGTTTCCTATCCTTGGCGTCGACTCGGCGTTCACCATCATCATCGTCTTCTTTGTTCCCTAACCCAAACCCAGCACAGACTGAAAATAATAACAGAAAGGGGAGGGAGAAGGTAGAAGCTCCATTGGACCAGAAGCCGCGGTCCGACGCCTGAGTTCGGACGACATCCGATATCCGGCATCGGACAGCGTCCGATATCCGGCATCGGACGGCGTCTGAAACCTTACATTCGGACGGCATGTAAGAGCTATGAATTGCGCTCATTCCTTATTTCAGGCGAGGAGGTAGTTTCAGAGTAAGTATTAATTAATTTGACAAGTTGTTTAGTTCATGATTCTTGGTAGTTTCAGCACCATTCTAACCGTTGTTTGCCTGTAATTTTGACCGTTGACGGTGCGAGTAATGCCTTTTAGTTGGCTTCTATTTTTATGTGTCTACTTATTGTCATGTTACAGAATTCTATTTTCCTTTGCTTTGTATTCAGTTTCATACTCTAATTGTATCATTTGTTTCTCTTTCTTTCGGTAGGGGGTTGTTTGGTTAGTTCCATTTCTGATGCCAGGAAATATTGGGCCAACACGGTCAAATATATCGCCATCGCAGATTTTCCTACTCGGCAGAGGATCCTGTAGTCGCTGATGGTGAACGAACTGTCAGTCTATTCTACATCTTTTTGCTTTTTCTGCATCAACATTCCGTTCAAATGATATGTGCACGATTATCCTCCCAGTAGCAGCATTTATGCTTGCTGGCTCCTGGTGGGGTTGTCACAGGCATCGTTCCATGTATGTTTGTACAAGTTCCTTCCACACTAAATTAGTAAATCTCCGTGAAGTTTTCAAGAGAGACTGCATTTAGAGGGTCATCTATGTAGTGTTGTTAGGATGGTATACACTCTCTCTGATCCAATTTGGATTTAGACTTAAATGTTGACATGAGAGACAACGACAATGCCTTTTTTGCTGCCAGTTTAGACTCCCACAGTTAGGGAAGTTGTCAGACTTTTTGTGAGGTCCCACAAGGTTTTCGAGTAACTTTTATTGTCTCTTCAATATGTTTCAGATCTTGCATTTTCGTTTTAGTCTCTTTTGTTTCAAACTTGTAAGCTATGAATTGTGCTCAATTTTCATTGCAGATGGAGAGCAGAATTACAAGAATTCAGTAGCGAGAATGGGTGTGATCTCAAAAGGTATGTGGGTACCAATCCCTTGCTTCTCGATGTACTTGAAGGATTCTTGAGATATTAGGTTTAATTAGATTTTGTTCTTCGTGGTTTTGTGCAATCATATTTTGAATGAGCCATCCAACATGTGTCGCCTGTAGGGTGATAAGGTCCAAGATGATAGCTTGAGTTTTAAAAGGCATTTGCTTTCCGCTTCTTGCTTCGGTATTACAATATCAGCTGCCAACGCCCAGTACTAGCTTCTGTAGGGAGTTCCTTTGCGTCCTTTTTAAACCTTTTCATATGTATGGACTTTCTTGGATCGAATTTGTTTGACCTATTTTTAGTTGGTGGCCATATACAATCAGTGATGGTTGAAAAAAAGGAATTGAAAAGAAGGAAACTATGATGTCACTATGTAATGTCCTTAATTAAATTCACATATACATTGTTTGTGTTTCTGTAATTGAAAGCGTCAATATAAACTGAAATGGAACTCAATTATGGGATATACTTGGTCAGACTAAAGCGTTTGATGTGTTTCTGCCAGATTTGGAATTCTGTTTGTCTTGCAGAAAATATGGAATTATGTTTGTCTTGCAGAAAATACCCATCATTCGGTCAAGTTGAGCTACCAATATTAGAAGCCTATAAAAGCCTTTAAGGTGTTGTTGTATATTCATGGTTCCCAAAAATGACTATTTGACTCTATGTTCTATTTTTTATTGTGGTTTGTGGCAGGCTATGCAAGAAAGTGTCTATGAGAGATTAGATGTGGGAGATGGCAACCACATATGTGTAGAGCAAAGGCAGTTGTAGCGGATGTAGCATGAACTTCTTCATCCCCAATGGCAGAAGAAAGACGACATCTGCTATATATACCGTTGTATTGTTAAGGCAAGTGATATTCCAACGTAGAATTGAAATAAAAATGGTGTGTGCCTACTATGGACAGGTTATGTGGTTTTGTTGTATGATTGATTATTAAATGGATGGTTGCCTTCTTGCATAACTACTGATTTGTTTCATCAGTATACTTTTTTTAACCCTATGTGAATCTGCCTTTGCATTGCATGGTATATTAGGTAATTTTTGTTTTGCAAAATCTGCCGCCTTAAGATCGACCCTCTTGGTTAAAATATCATTAGTTATATACTGTAATTCGCTATGCCTATATGGTGCCCTCTAGAATCGCCCACCAATATTCAAACACTTGGAAGTGACCAGAGTATTGTGTTTAGTTTTTTTCCCCCATCATCTCTTTGTCCAATGCTGGCTACTCTTCATTGATTGCAGAGAAGATGATTGTTGTGTATCAATCAAAATGTTTATTGTAAGAAGTTGTGTGATGATTAAAGTTCACAACTTTTGAAAATGAACTGAAAAATTGTGTTTGAGTCAAATATTATGAGGGAAGTAGTTCCTGAAAATTCATACAAAGAACCATGATAGACCAAAGAAGTAACAAAATTATCGTGTCACTTTAGTTAAAGAGTTGGGTCAAAATTTCACTATAGGTTGTGTGATTTTTGATGGATTAGTTTGTTTTCATGGTTGAATTTTGGTGGATCATGATCCACATCATGGACTCTGCTCAATCTTCTAATGTAAATAATCATGAGAATAAGTAACTTGCGTAATTTTCGGTTTCATTGTTTTTATGAATTTTTCAAATCTCCATAAGTTCAAATGAGGACCGCTATGGATCACAAGGGAGCTATGAAGAGCAAAGGTACCCAGTGGACAGAAAGGGACTACGTTTCACCCCCTTTGTTGCTCTTTTGCCTCAACTTCTGTACTCAATTTTCTTTGAAATTTGGAGTGGAAATTCTATCTGTTAGGCGAACTGGAGCATTTAAACTGCATGAAGTAATCGATATATGTTCTGACCCTACTGCTATTTATCAATATGGTTCTATTGAGCTTGGTATTCTAGAATCTAAAGTTCGATTCCTTTTATGTTGGGTTAATATTTTCGTATGGGCTGAACTTTTATCAAAATAAACATCCTGGCCAATCTTTTTGATCTATAACATCCTGGCCCGAACTATACACCAATATAAACAATTTGGCCAGAACCGACTTTTGACCGTTAACTTGGACGGTCAAACGCGTTGACTAACGGTCAACGCGCCACGTTCTGCCAAGTCAACAATTTTCACTTAAATTTTTTTACAATTTCCACCTATTATCATTTTTTTATATTTTGAACGCCAAAAAAAAGTTAAACAAAAATAAATCAAATTAAAAAAATAAACTCTTCATCCCCTCTCTGATCCCTTTCACTCCCCGCTGTCATCTGTTCTCCAAAAATCATCTTCTGCTTATCCTTCTTCCATCACAATCAACTGTAAATGCCCCAAGTGTAAAGTCCAATCCATCTCCCCCGTCACCGCACCAGAGAACCTGGGTGATTATCCCCAAAATTCCCAAATCGTAAATCAAATAAAATCTGAAGTCCAAACCTTTACTCGTCATCATCATCGCCAAACGGAGGGAAATGAAAAGATTGGATAATGGTGAGCTTCCCTCCATCCATGGCGGCGAGTGCGAAAATGGTGGTACCAAGGTCGATTCCACAACTTTTCGCTCACCGCCCTTAGTGGATCGTAGCTCCTCTGCCCTCTTTCGCTTGCTCCCGCTGCCGTCGTCGAGCCCCAGGGGAGGAAGGAATCAGGCTCACCGACAAACTAGCAACAGCAAGAGGCCCGCCGCCGGGCTCGAGAAGAGGCAATCGAGCGGGAGTGCGGGCGAATGAGCCGGAGTGAGGGATAACATAGAGGGATTCATTATCCTCTTTGATCCCGATCAACTGATTGAGGACCTCTCTCTCGTTCAAATCACGGATCTAGGGTTTCAAGTTCTCAAATCGTCGCCGAGTTCCTGGATCCAATGGCAATGGAGTCGTCGGATGGGGAAGATGAAGGGAAATTACGGGAGGAAGCCATCATCTGGTTGTGGTGGACGACCTGAGAGAGCTGGTGAACATTCAATTCCATTTGGAGAGGAGACAACAACAGGGAGTGAAAGGGATCAGAGAGGATGGAAGGGGGTTTGTTTTTTATTTTGTTTAATTTTAGTTTTTTTTGGTTCAAAATGTCAAAGAAAAATGATAATAGGTGGAAATTGTAAAAATATTTAAGTGAAAATTTTTGATTTGGCAGTGACGTGGCGCGTTGACTGTTAGTCAACGCGTTTGACCGTCCAAGTTAACGGTCAAAAGTCGGTTCTGGCCAAATTGTTTATTTTGGTGTATAGTTCGGGCTAGGATGTTATAGATCGAAAAGATTGGCCAGGATGTTTATTTTGGTCAAAGTTCAGGCGATACGAAAATATTAACCCTTTTATGTTCTATAACCGCTACTTTTCTTTCGTACGGTTTGGTGGTTCGATAGTATTATGCTTTTGCATAATTAAAACGCATGATTGGTTTCTCTATGATGATAATCTCATTTGTAGGTCTTACATTACAGGATTGGGAAAAGGGAACAAAGATGAATAGTGATGGAAGATGTAAGGAACAATGAAATACAGCCTTCCCGGTCTCTCAACAATGACGACTTGCTGTTATTGCTCATATCATCATCATCATGATTTTGCGTGTAAGTCTGATAGCACAATTCTCCGCTCTTTGGTTTCATATTAGTTACTAAGAGGTTCTTGAACTACTACTCAGCACTCAAAATTTTGAATACAGGATTGTTCGATGGCTTGATGAGACCGACTTTGACAAGCACTAAGTGGTTACAGCTTAGAGTGGTTCCCTTTGTTTTGTATTTCCGGTTAACATGTGTTTTTTTGTACATGGTTGCTAATTTTTCAGAGTTGTGAATTAAGTGAATGGGAGGGAAGAAAATGCTATACCAAATTGTAATTACTATTCGGATGCTCCTTTAACACGTTTCCATCAGGTGTCTTTAATTATGCAGATTATCTCAACGACATTTGACCTTCTCTTTGGTGATAATGTAGCAACTGCACTGCTTAAGCAATCTGTCAAGCATTTCTCGACCTAAGACTGCCTGCCTTAGTTCCACTGTAGGGAACTGTTTTTGCAGTTGACATAAGACCAATGCTGATCAACCGCCTACACTTGTGGTCGTCTCAGTATGGGATCCCCTTTGATTTTAGCAAAAAACAATACCATGTCCTGTGTTTTCTTGCTCCTACGTCTGCTATCAAAACCTAGAATTCTATGTGCTTTGACACGGTACTCAAACATGTATCCTATTTCGTATCTCTAACCATTCTGCTTGAATTAATAAGTCCATTTTCCGTTAATCTCCTCATAAAAAGTCTCTTCGTACTTTCCACCACATCCAGTACAAATATCCTGATATCAAGTTTACAATATTTTAAAGTTAATCACACATTATTCACCAACCCGCTGCGAAGCGCAGGCTTTCCACCTAGTTTAATATTAAAATGATCATCATTGAAAACTAACATGGAAATTAATCGCAGAAACTGAGAGGAAGATAACTATCAACCACTCCAACGGGCACATATGCATGGTCATTAAACCATGATTAATGAAAGTTCAATACGTTAATCCGTAAATTTAAACCACAAAACGTAGGTAGACCTACGCCGACCGAATGGTGTAGGCGGCCAAACAACGTTGTTTAGATCTCATTTGAACGGCTGGACAGTGCCGATCAGCAGGGTCTGATGCACCTCATGTACTCGTCCCAACCACAGCAGTTGTCACTTGTCAATGCCTGTTAACGAACAAAACACTTTGTCTCAATAAATCGAGTTGTTGATAAATGATTTTTATGAGCTTTTATCTCTCACACACTCCTTCACACGAAAGCATACTTGTGAGTTTTCCTAATAATTTGTACAGGTTGAACATATCATTCCATCCCTTGACCTGCTAATCCATAAAGCCTTCAGTTTGTACAGGTTTAATATATCATGACTTGTGCTAAACCATTGTTTATCCTATGTATCGTCATAAAGATTTGAAATCATAATTAACCTTTCAATCAAAGGCTCCGGTACCATATTAACCAACAAACCACCTAGTTTATCGATCACTCGAGTACTTGTTGGAAAAGAGTTTGCATAATTAAGTTTTTATCTTCCTACCATGGTAACTAATTATTAAATATATTAAACAAAATGGACGGTTTTTACTTACACAACCACCCACTGCAGTCGTCGGCGGTGCTAACCCGGCGGCCGCGTCCGGCCGAGTTGATGAAGTGATCACGGTCGGAACCAGCAACTGACGGCGACACAACAAAAGTAGCAGACAATAATACTATTGCTGCCATGAAAAGGCGTACCATCATCATCAAACTCATACCACCATGGCAATTCTTCATCGTATATAGCTAGCTTATTATAATGGTAAGAACAGAAACGAGAGGCAATGGAAAATGATGTATTTGGCACAAGTACAGGTACGTAGTATATATATAGCTAACCGGACTTGCATGCCGGCGGCGCGGTACGGATGGAATCCGGACAACGCACTACCGCCGGCAGTGGACAGAGTGTAGACAGATAGAGTTACAATATTTTCGATCTTTTCTTGACATACACGTTTCTCGATCGGATGACTAAATAAGGGTAAGACAACTAATGTCATACATTTTAAATTTGTATAGGGTTACCTGTATGAATGGGTTTCTCAACATTAATTACCAGTGACCTAGCTAGACATACTTTCAAATTTGTTGGCAATTACTAATGTTAGTAAATGGTTTAAGAATTATAACCCAACATCTCCCAACAATTCGAACTATTGGTACCAACCGATTCTTGACATAATATATACTAGAGTCTTCGATGACCGAGATGTCTTGTGCCCGATCGGATTCCGAACGACGATCCCCATTTGTTAATAATCACGTGGTATTCGAACTTGTGCAAACTTCATGTCCATATGAGGTTGGCTTTCGTTTGAAGGAGTATGTGTGCTAGTATATGGTATAAGATCAATGATTGAACCTTTCTCAACGTACAACTCAAGTTATTGCGATCAACTCATTCTTGACACGTGTAAGGCAATGATATAAATATTCGTGTTTGGATCTGAGTTGACATGCATGATGTGCTAACTTCCGCAGAACTCGAATTATTGCGTCCAACTAATTCTTGATACATATGAGGTCTCCGCCATAAAAAAAACGTATTCATCTTGAACCGGCTCTTAATAAGGTGGTTCAACTATGTATACAACTACATACACATACCATAAACATTTAGAAAATAATACACATCATAAAAATGATCGATGTTGTCCGGCAGAGCAAAACATGTTGGTGATTTCGCGCCGAAAATGCATATCGCTATTACCATGGACTTTGGTATTCCTCTGTGGATCGAACTATCATCATTCTTTTGTCCATTCTCTCTTGTTTTGGTGAAGTAAACATTGATTCCGGAAATTAAAAATGATAAAGAATATTTATTCTCAACTCTAACATATGCGGAATCACACTACAAATTAAAATTAAGTATTATTAAGATTAAGGGTTAATATTTTATTTTGGCCTGAATTATGAGCATATAATCAACTTTGGTCCGTGATTTCAAAAATTAACATATTGGCCTCAACTACGCAGCATATAGATGTGAAAACCTAATAATGACGCAAACTGACAGTTTATTGATTAATGCTGAAAAACTATAAGTACAATATTCTCAGCCCACAATCTCGATCTCCCACTAACCTTAATTGATCCCACTAACCCTGAAAACCAGCTAACAGACTCTCTAAACTTCTGCACTAAGCAACACAAGCCTTAACACTCGACTTGTCCTTATTTGACCCTAAAACAAACTTAAAGTGACCAAACTGAAAGAAACCAAACGACACAGTCTTCAGTTCAAACTAAAACGACATAGCTTCAATAAAGACAGACTTTGAAACCTCTGTTTCTTGGCGCCAGTCTTCAACATCCTCCCCTGAACAGAAGCTTCTTCGTCACCTTCAGTTTAGCCTTCTTCCTTCAGCTTCTGCAAACACATCAAAATCACACAACCCCATTCTTTCTCTCGTCAACTGAAACGTTTCCAGTCTCAGAGCCTTAGTCATCACATCTGCCACTTGCTCCCCAGTTCCCACGTATTCCAATTCCACAGTTCCTTCATTCACCAGATTTCTCAGAAAATGAAATCAAACATCGATATGCTTACTTCGCCCATGGAAAACCGGATTCTTTGAGAGCTTAATTGCAGAGCTGTTGTCACAATGGATTCTTGTTCCTTGTGCTACGCTGCTCTTCCATCCCATTTGAGTTAGGATCCTCCTCAACCAAACACACTAAGTAGCGCAATGTGATGCTGCTACAAATTCAGCTTCTGTTGTTGAGAGTGTGACAACAGGTTGCTTCTTTGATCCCCACGAGATGGCTCCACCTGCAAGAAAGAATACGTAGCCACTGGTGCTTTTTCTATCGTCAACATCTCCCGCGTAGGCACTATCTGTATAGCCTTGCAAGCAATCCTCCCCACCTTCTCTTTTGTACCAGATTCCATGATTTATTGTACCTTTAAGATATCGTAGTACTCGTTTTGCCGCCATCATTTGCAAACGAGTAGGAGCTTCCATATACCTGCTTAGTGAACACACAAAGTACATGATATCTGGCCTAGTTGCTGTGATGTACAACAAGCTTCCAATAAGTTGTTTGTACTCAGTGGCATTCACTAGATTTCCATCACCAGCCTTTGTGAACTTTGTTCTAGACACCATAGGGTTCTTTGCATAGTTGCATTCCAGAAGATTGAACCTTTGCAACACTTCTTTCGCATATTTTGGCTGAGAAATGAATATACCAGATGTGCTTTGATACACCTCCACCCCCAGAAAGTACTTCATCATTCCCAGGTCACTCATTTCAAACTGAGCCTCCATGGATCTTTTAAATTCTTGAATGAGACCTGCATCATTCCCAGCATACATAACATCATCTACATACAAACTTACCAACAGTGTGCTCTCTCCAACCTTCTTAACAAACAAGGTAGGCTCATAGGGACACTTTTCAAACCCAGTTGCAGCAAAGTATTGCTCAATTCTATTGTACCAAGCTCGAGGAGCTTGTTTCAGCCCATAAAGAGCTTTCTTGAGCCTGTATACTTTATTCTCCTCCCCAGCAACCACAAAGCCTTGTGGTTGCTCTACATACACTTCTTCTTCCAAATTGCCATGTAGGAAGGCACTCTTTACATCTAATTGAAACATTGGCCAACCATGGTGAGCAGCAAGAGCAAGAAAGGTCCTGATTGTGTCCCACCTAGCCACTGGTGCAAAGACTTATGTATAGTCTATGCCATGCTGTTAACAGTACCCTTTGGCCACAAGCCTGACCTTGAACTTATCCAGTGAACCATCCTCTTTAAGCTTGGTTCTGAACACCCATTTTAGACCAATGCATCTAGCTCCAGCAGGTAAAGTGGTTAAGTTTCTGTGTTAACAACAACAGGTGTGATTTCTTCAATTTGATCTTCAGTGTCAGAATCAAACCAATCTTCATCACTGCTTTCCCAAGACAAACTTGTTAGCACTGGTTGTGTCTCTTCATTCCAGATCCACCCACGCTTCTCATCAAATACAACATCTCGACTTACAACAATTTTCTTTGTTTCAGGATTGTATAGCTTGTAAGCTTTTGATTCAGCTTAGATTCCAAGGAAGATACAGGGCTTACTCTTATCATCTAGCTTCTTCCTTTGTTGATCTGGAACATGAACATGAGCAGCACAACCAAATACTTTGAAATAGTCCACTGAAGGAGGAACCCTTGACCATACTTCTTGTGGAGTTTTTTTCAGATGGGCCATAGTGGGATTTCTATTGAGTACATGGGTAGTCCAAAGAACTGCCTCAGGCCAAAAGGCTAATGGAACTTTGGTATCTGCTAGTATGCATATGACCATGTTCATTATGGTCCTGTTCTTTCTTTCAGCTACCCCATTTTGTTGTGGGGTTAAAGCAGCAGTTATTGCCTTCTGATTCCAGCTTCATCACAAAGAGTTCTGAATTCACTAAGCATGAACTCTCCCCCTCGATCAGTTCTCAAACAACCTATTTCTGTTCTTGCCTCCTTCTCCACTTGAGCTTTGAAGTTTTTGAATACTCCAAGAGCTTCAGATTTGTGAGCCAGAAGAACACCCACAGTTTCCTATTGAAATCGTCAATCACTGTAAAAACATATCTCTTTCCACCATTGGACATGGGAGTGATGGGACCACATAAATCTGCATGAATGAGTTACAGTTTATGAGTGGCTCTCCACTGACTTCTCTTAGGGAATGGCTTCCTGTGTTGTTTCCCTACCAGACAAGTGGTGCAGATTTCAGGAACTCCTTTCAGTATTGGCAGTCCAGTAACAATTCCCTTCTTCTGTAATTTGGTTAGGCCCTGATAACTTAGGTGGCCAAATCTTCTGTGCTAGAGATTTAGAGTTGTTAGTACTTTGTAAAGATTGAGAAAAATGTAGAGTTGATTAGACTTTATTTTCTTAAACTTTTCGCCAAATTTAGGTTTTAGTTCAAAACCTCTCCTTGCAATTCGATTTTAGAGTCTAGCTTGGCTCCATCAACTTCCATCTGATAGCCGTCGGCCAGCAGTATAGAAATAAGTTCAGAATCGACGTCCAGCTTCCAACAATCATGTCGAAACCGAGCATAAATGGGCACGAGATAAGACGTGGAAAATGGCTGGTGCCAAAGCTTCATCACTGATGAATGGAATTCTCATCATTTGCAAATGCTTTGCTTTGTTTCAGTTACATAGGGAGTACAGAAGAATACTACATGTCAAACGACTACCTTCATATATATATTTCTACACTACTTAGCCTGGCTTCTTCCTACAATGCAAGTAACTCTCCTCCCTTTTGGCACAAGGATTCCACTGCCAGAACAATCTATGAATGCTACAAACCCGTTTTGGTTAATTCGGTTCAGATACTGTCATCTGAAGTTGCAGCAATGAGCCTGTCCTCTCAACAACTTATCCCACAGGCAAATCATCTGCCTCGGCGACTGGTAATGTGCTGTGTAGTAATCTTCCATGCATCCATATTGACAGAACTTCCAGCTGTGGGAGTACTGGACGGGTGTCGTGCTGTTGAATTGCTCAACCCACATTCCCATGCTCACATCTTCCATCTTGAATAGCTGCCAAAAAACCCATTTGCGGCTGATGAATTTGCTGATTGTGTATTTGTAACCAAAAGAATACCCATCCATGCTAGAGAGTTTTCTTAGAACTAAGGTTACCAAGGGTCACTTACCCTGAGGCTCCGATTGCTGTGTTGAGAAACAATAAAGTTGGCGATATCACTAGACACTACATAGCCTGGACCATTTGCATAAGGTGGATATACTGATTCTGGCCACTCCTGTTAAACATTAGCAAATTACATGAGAAAGATGAAGGAAATCTTTCTAACTTTACTGGTAGTGACTGCAAGGAACAAATTTCAGATATGGGTAGGAATCATTGCTCATCTTCTCCACCTATGATGAAGATTTGGGAATTCTTATGATTACAAATGAAAAAGAACGTTATGGTATTACCTCAAAAGTGACTGCCCATTTTCCATTTCTCAGAGGACGATGCAGAAGATTCAGGTTTCCCATATAGAGAGACTTCTTTCGGGAGACATGATCAATTTCTTTCAGAACTGTCTCCACCCTTACAAATGTGTCATCATCACATTTCATGATGTATGCAGCCGAAACATTTTTAACCTGGAATGACACTTCGTGAGTTGGTTCCAAACTCAATTCCAAAGACAGAGAAGTACATATGTGTTTTGGATAAGAGGTTAACCATTTATATCTTTTACTTACCCCAAACTCACAGATGGCAATCGTCTTAAGAACTACGAGCTCGTAGCGATCCATAAATGGTAAAATCACAATGTCGCCAAAGTAATCAGCCTCCTTCTTGAGCACAGCATTCACCTCTTTTCTTGGATTCTGCAGGTCGATATAGTGACAATTAAGATAAAAGAAGGTTATGACTGTCAATAGCAGAAGATGGAAGGCTATTTATCCACATAAATATAAAATTGGACTTCTGAAAATATGTTTAATACGTAGCAACTGGAACATGGAACTCTTACCAATGCCACGAAAAAACGAACTGCCACATTAGAGGACTTTATCGATGATGATTGCATCCATGTTTTCCTAACTGCCATGCGTTCTGCAAAGTGGTTTGTGGCTGACAAAATCCCAATAAAAAGCCAAATAGGACTCTTTGAGATGGGACGAGCTTTCCACTTCTCTGACATTTCCAGTACCCTTTGAGGAGAGAAGCTCGGATGAGACTTGGGGAGCGAAGTTGCATAAACTGACTTAATGTCTACTTCTCCTTTTATTGCTAACCCTGTAGCATCTTCAAGGGTAAATCCCTGAAAAATAACGAAGAAGGTAAACTAATGGGACACAGGCAAATACGGTACATAAGACAGTTTTCTTTTTAGGGCACAATAGAAGGGACAAGCTTGAAGTGGGAAGATACCAGAAAGCATCAACTACAAGCAATCAACAGCACAGACAAAAAATAACAGTATGTCGCTGGATAAATTATAAAGCTAGATGTATGATACACCCTTGAAATATGGACATTGAATTCGGAATATGGTAAAGTAGCTCCTGGATGGGGAACTACTCCTTTGATGGGTGTCGCAATGGCTTTATTTGCGATATTCCTATCTATTATTTTGGAGATTTATAATTCTTCAGTTTTACTGGATGGGATTTCAATGAATTAGATTTACGAGAAGTGCTAAGTCTTAGCTTTTCAATATAAAAGTAGGTCTCGGATAAGCAGATCACAAGGGAAAATTTGCAACATACTGGGCGGTAAGGAAATGAAGTCACATGGCGACCCCCGACACTGATGTGGTAGCCATCAACGCCCGCTCGCAATGTTAAGATGAACAACCTTCCCTCCACAAAAGGGAACGGCCAGGTTACTTCGGGTTTCTGTTCACGCCCTATGAATCTCTTGAACCAGGAGGTTGTCTTGGATTCTTTAGAGTCAGCAGAATCCCTGTGCATCCATTTCTCACATCTCACTTGTCCATCAACTGCAAATATACGGGAATCAAACCTCAAAACAACTTTTTACTGGAAGCACAATAAAGTAACTACTAACTTCCTTCAACACTTTCTTCTATATCAGGGAAAAATCATACATATGAAGAGTCTTAGAAGTAGAAAATTATGAACCATAACAAAGACCTTTGGCCTAGAAGGAAAACTCTTACCCAGCTGATCTTCATCTTTCTTGGAAGAAAACCCATCACACCTTTGAGCTACTCCCCACTGCATCCTATAGCAGGTGTTATGTTCAATGACTGGACGTTTACTCCAATCTCCCCTCAATCGAGGGTTCAGATGCAAAATCTTAGGGGGGTCCTCCCCATCCACAACCTTCAACCCTTGTAATTCAATGACAAACTGAGAAACCATCACAATGCCATTACCGTGCCTTAATCTAGCTAGCTGGGGAACAAACTCCGGATGTGCATAGTGAGGTTTCCCAACCACTGTAATGGAGGAACCGGCAGCTAACCCACAGGGAAGGAACACCATAGCATCCCCTCTATCCAACTCCTCTCCACTCATTGAAACCCAAAGAGGGCAAGACTCAGGTTTACCCTCAATTGCAGAACTCGGTCCAATATCATCCCCCTTATAGTTCTGCACTTCTTTCCATGCCCTTAAACCCAAGGTCCATGCTTCATCTGCCATTTTCTCGAGGGTGGAAAAACCACTAGTCCTATTCATCCGCCTCATGACCTCCCCAGTAATTCGACCGTAACGGTGCTGCAGTGGTTTTAGAGGTTTGGACTCTCCCTTCACTTCTTCCACCGGTTCTTTACTGGGCATGTTGGGTGCAGCCTCGTTCTCGTTATCCTCCAATTTGCGGTGAAATGTATCCATATAAGCCGAACCAGACAATGGCTTGCTCAAATCTGATTCCCGAGCCTCACCCCTGCTGGCCTCACCAGAATCGATATAACTCTCATCTCCACTCAATGTTGCTGCGATTTCTAACAAATGAGGGACCTTGGATACTAAAAACACGAAGTACAATGCTGCTATCCCTAGTAGAAGATGGGACATTTTGAACCTTCTACCAGTTGCAGGTTCCACCTTTACCCTCTTCATCTTACAAACCCCCTCCGATCGAAAAAATCACCACACAGGGGGGAAACTACAATATATACAAATACCCAGGACGGCCTCTCTTCAGCATTACCTCAAGAGAAAGAAATACAACAGCTTAGGAAGAGAGGGAAACCAAGGAGATAGCCAGAGCTTCAACGTTCAACCAGTTTTCCGCGGCATTTAATTCAGACCCTACAAAGATAAATTGATCCCGCAAATTTATCTCGTACCTGCCTGGTCTCCTCCTGACGGTGTGATTGAAGAAGACCCTTAATCAGGGAAGCTAGAAACAGCCAACAGAAACCGAATGTAGCACAAGCAGGCAGACCCACAAAGCTGCAATAAATTCAAGAAGCAGAAACCAACCAGCGGCCTTCAATGGATTCGAGGGGAGATCAAGTTCACAACTCGCCCAATCAAGGAATGGGATCCAGGAAAGAGCATGAAACCCTGGATGGATGTTTCTATGAACACCCAATCAAGCGTATGGCTCGAAATGGGTGGATATAGGGGAAAGAAGGAAGCGACAACGGTTGGCGGGGAGAGGAAGAGAGAGAGGTCGAGCATATAAAAATATCAAATTTGGAAGGGAAAAATAAACAGAGAGAAATGGAGAAAGTGATGAGACTTCAATTTTTAGGAGTTGCAGAAAAAAGCGCAGAGGGAGGGATGGAGGAGGAGGAAGGAGAGAGAGGTGGAAATGCATAGTGGGACTGTACTAATAATTAATATAATTAGTAATTATTGGTATTAATTAAAAAATTTTTGATAATTACTAAAAGAAGAAACAAGATAAATTAATAATAATTCATACAAAATAAAACATGATAGATTACTCTAATACTCTTAAATAAATAAAGACAAATTTTAGTGGGAATCCCAGCCCACATTTTTGTCTCTCCCTCATATTGTTTTCGGAAAATCCAACTCATATACTTCCACACAAAACAATTAATCCAATATGAATTCTAGAATTTGTAATATAAAAATTTGTTACTTGTTGATAGATTGAAGTTGTATTTATATGAGTGGGATGCATGAATCTAAATTTTGAATGATAAAAAAAAATTATATGAATTATAATTATGCTAGTTTCTAAATGGATGAATGTGTGGAATTGCCTTGGAGGAGATTTATCTTTATAGTGTAATTTTTTCTTTTGTACAAGTGAAGAACTGATAATAACTTTACCGTTATCTTATAACAGTCATATATTTTGATAGTTTATTATATACTGAAATATCAATCTTATTGGTTAGATTTTGGTTAAGTTTTCACAGAATCCTTTGGTCAAATGTTGATCAGTAAAAAGTAGTGTGATGTATTTGTTGCTGGAAACTTTAATAATCACTCATTCCTTTGTTTATAGTAAGGTTTTCCGATTAGGAGGCAAATCTCTCTAAGATTTGATATGAGAAATTTGGGGACAACCTCTTTAGCTTTGTCTTGTTATATATATATTTCTGGAAAAAGAAAATAAATGGAAAGAGGGACAATCAGTGTTAAGTAAATGGAAAGCAAAGCTTTATTGAAAGGATAATCTGTTTCTCCGTAGAAAAATTAAACAATGAAATGAAAGGCAAACCCACAAAATCAATGGAATCCCTATATCCGCGCCTAATTCCCGGATTACCGCCTAAATTACATTTATAAGTTAGGCAGTGACGACTAAAGTGCAAGGGTTTACAGTTTACTCGATCCAAGGAAAAACATTTTAGTTTTTACACCCAGAATTGAAACAACGCCAAAACATCCGGAGCAGCACTAGCCCGTAACCGTTTTGTGTATATAATTAAGGGGACAGGATACGGTGACAACCCCCTTGAGGGTTGTCAGATTCACAACCATCTTTATGGCCATCGGATACGTTCTCTCTCCTGTCTTTTTCTTCTTTTTTTAAATTAATGGTTAAGATTAAACCAAGGGCAAATTCGGAATGGAAAACTTACCACATGAGATCCTTTCCATTTTCCATATAAATACTTTTAATACCAAAAAAAAAAAACAGACCCTCCCCCATTCTCCTGCGTCTCCCTCCTCTTCCCCTCTCACATATCTCTAACAAAAAAACCCTAGCCGTCAAGAGCTCCACCACCGTCGCCGCCTCTGCCTCCCCTGCCGTCGCGCCGCTGTCCTCCCCTCGCGCCCCGCCCCGCCGCTGTCCTCCCCGCGCCGCTGTCCTCCCCTCCCTCTTCCTCTCCCGTGCCCACCGTTCACAGCCTGCTGTCCCCGCCATCATGATCGAGATCTACGCCGCCGCCTGGCTCCGCGACGTCCAGATCGGCTCCGTCCGCGTTCTCATCAGCAACGTCCAGATCGACGTCCAGATCGTCTCTACACCAAGCTCTCTGCCTCCGGCGTCGGCTTCAACGACCTCCTCGACGCCAAGGCCACCGCCGGGGGTGCGAAGAATCTCGATGAGAAGACCTCCAATGCTAGTGGTACCAATTCCTATTGGTACGATACCACTACTCACTGGTACGTACCAGTGGCTCCCCTACCACTACTCACTGGTACCACTATCATCTGGTACCACTATCATCTAATACCACTATTATCTGTTTTTTTTGTGTTATTCTCTACTGGTACCGCTACCAATGCTAGTGGTAGCGCTACCAGTGCTAGTAGCGTTGTGTTATTCTCTACTGTTAGCGTTGTACTGGTAGCGTACCACTAGTATTGGTACATTTTTTAACGTACTGGTAGCGTACCACTAGCACTGGTATATTAATTACCAGTAGACTAATAGATTGGTACACTTTTTAACGCATTGGTACATTTTTTCAGGTTGCCGGAGGGAGTCTGCCGGAGAGAATTCGCCGGAGAAAAAGTTTGTCAGTCGATGCGGAGTGGCTGCTGGAGAAAGGAAAAGAGAGAGAGAGATAGATAGAGATATTAATGTATAAGATTTAAATTTCAGAAAAAAATTGTATTTAATATGGGTATTAAATTCCCAATATAATTAATACAAAAAAGGTAATTAATATATTCATTTTTTTCATACCCAAAATATCCTTGGTTGTGAATCTGACAACCCCAAGGGGGTTGTCACCGTATCCTGTCCCATAATAAGCCGTTTTGTGTATATAATTAAGCAGAATTGCATTAAAAATGTTAGACAAAATGTTTGGTTTCGCTCTGCCTTCTCTCCTCGTTTTGGGGAACTGGCTTGGCCGCGCATTGCTCCGGGCAGTGGTGGCCGGGCTCCGAGCTAGTCTGATAAACCAACAGAAGGCTCACCAGCCGAGGGGACAAGCTGTTCCGCAGCGAGTCTTGAGGTTTCATACAACTCAGCGGAGGTGGGTGGATCGGCAGGATCGGCTGCCGGCTCGATCAAGAAGGTCAAGTGAGGTGGAGCAGTGCCGGGTGAAGATACGGCGGAATGTTCGTAAACGCAAAGCTAGCGAGGTAGAAGTGGAAAGGGCTTTGCCCCCGAAGAAACCTCGGGTATCCAAATTGAGAGAGTGGAGCTTTTCGTTGCCATCATCAATGGAAGTGGAAAATGAGACGTCTCCTCCTAGCCGGCTTTCTATGGGCTCGATAGAAGGGGCGAAGGGCAGGAAATGTAGCACAAAAGTGCAAGAAGGGTTGTGGACTGGCCCTGCTCCGATGAACAATCCTAGTCTGGTAATAGCGGAACTGGGGGAGCAAAATGCCGGCGAACAAAACGCCGGCGAAAAGTCTTGGGATCGGAGGAAGGAAAGCACGGTTGTTCCGAGCAAAAACCTGAGTCCTCTGATGGATCCCTCAAATTGCGGTGGAAGGGATAAGTAGAATCCCGAAAGATTGGGGGCGATTATCCCCTGTGATTTGAAAGCTAACAATCGGAACAGATTGGAAATTAGTTTTTATTTTCAAAATAAGTATCCTAGTTCACATCTAAGTCTACTCGGGGTAGGGAAACAAGGTGCATGGGTTGGATGTTTGTTGGGGTTAAAGTCCCCCTATAAAAGAGCCAAGCAGAAACCCTCCTTTCAAGGTCGTGTGTTTTCTGAAGCTAGCTTAAAAGTGGCTGCATTGGTTCCTTTGATCCAACCCAACGTCGATTTATTCCCAGGTATGGGTCTGCACTTTGCACCTCCCCCTTTTGAGCAAGGTTTCTGGCGCACCTACCTTGGGTCTGCAGGCCGGGTTGATACACTCGAGATTAATGGCTTGTTGCCCATGAACACAATTGGCAGAGGGCCATTATCATGTGTATGGCGGTTTAATGTTCCACTTTGGACGCAGGTAGCGGAGATGGCTCGTATCTTGGAAGATCAGGTTGTTTCTTTCTCCCTGGAAGACGTCCAGTCGGTGCGATTTCGTTCTTCACGCACTCTGCTGGGTAGAGTGTTCACTGAGGCGCCCATTACACTTCCTGAGCTGAGCGAGGCTGTGAACTCGCACTGGCAAGGACGAGGACAGATACGAGTTGTTCGAGCTAGGCACGGGCTGTACGAATTCGTCCTGCCCAATGCGGAAACTAAAATCTGGGTGCTAAAGCGGACCCCATGGGTGGTACGCGATAACCTCATAAATCTGCGGTCCTGGACCCCATCAATCTCTAAAACGACATTCGAAGAACTGGCTACCGCACCATTTCGCATCCAGTTATGGGGAATCAAGGAAGATTGTTGCACCAAACAATTCGGGAAAAAATTGATATCCCCTACTGTTGGCCAGGTTTTGGAGGCAGGGGTGTTTGCAAGCAAAGAGACCTCGGAGATGTTTGTGAAGGTCCGTGCCATGGTGGACTTTGCGAAGCCACTACGATCTCAATTGTTTGTGGCAAATGAGGAGCTTGGAGGTTTCTGGGTATCGCTGAAATATGAATTTTTGCCTAGTTTCTGCTTCCATTGTGGGAGAGTGGGACATATGCAACGTGAATGTGTGTTTGATCCCCCGAATAGAAGTGAGAAGTTTGGGCCGCATATGGTGGCGAAGAAACCTGGGCGGCGGATTTATGAGGAAGAGGAGCCAGCTCCGACATTTGATGGTGCTCCGAAATCTATCTGGATCAACAAGGCTGTGCGCGAGGGTCCGGGGGAGCAGAGAGTGGGAGCTGCCAATGCTCCTAACCAGCGGGAGAAAAGGATGGTACAGGAGAGGCCAAGGGTGGAGAGGCGGCTGGAGCGGGAGAATGGGGGGAAAAGTACTCACCTGCCTGCTGCCATTTCTAAAACTGCTATGCGTAATAGTCCCCGAGGCTTTGCTGTTGCGAAGTCGCCGAGGCTGCGGTCGGGGCAAGGAAGCAGGCGGGAGCTGCTGGCCAAACCAATTCGGCAGGGGAAGGGGGAAATGAGCCGACCTCGTGCGGCTGTGAATCCTGATGGGAAACAGAACCGACCGAGATTGAGGAAGGCAGGGGCGGAATTTCAACAGGTGCTGGAAGGGGCGGCGGAAACCAGAAGAAGGCGATTGATCCTTGATGCGGATCAGATGATGATTTTGTTTGGGACAATGAAGCTGGGGAGGAATTGAAGGATGATAGTTTGGGTGGAAGTCAGGTGGATGGCGAGTTTCCCTTGCAAGCTCATCGTTCCATGGGGATTGAGGAAGAGGGGGCGGTGGTGGAGGCCAGGTTGGGTGGGCAGGTGACGGAGGAAGACCAAAATAAGGAGGGTAAAGTAATGTAAAGGAAACGCCTCTCTAAAAAGAAAAATGGAGATGAAAATAAGGTGGAGGCAGTTCAGGTGGGCGGCGTGGCACCTAGTTCTAATGCTGCCAAAGTTAAAATGGCCGCTAATCTCTTAATTGATGAGAGGCAGAATGCGGCGGATATAAAGGAACCTGGAGGGCTGAAGGGAGCAGCTTCGCTGAGCCCTGATTCGGATGAGGAGGATGGTAACTTTGAGATCAAACGCCGTGATCCAGTGACGGGTGGGCCTCTATGTTCGGGAATAATGAAGGGTAGGGTCCGACAAGTGGCTGATAAGTTTGAAACAAAGCTCAAAGGAGTGGCAGAGATCGTACCCCCATCTGGGGTGAATTTGGGAGGTCTTTCTCTGGGTAAAGAGGGCACTTCGAGTGAGTCATTGGATGAATATGGCTCGAATTTCTTGGATCCAATGATTGGGGATCGGAAGAGGTCCTTGGAGGAGGTGGTCGAAGGTTTGGAGGAATCGCCCATACCCAAAAGGCAATTTGTTGAAGAAAAAGGGATGATTAATTCGGTGGAGGAAGCCAGCCGCGAGTGGCCCCAACCGGATAAATGAGGCTTCTGGCCTGGAATGTGAGGGGAATTGGACCACCACTCACATTCCAAACTGCTGTAGGGTTAGTTCGATCGAATAAACCGGATCTTGTTTTCTTCTCGGAGACTCGATCGGGCCGGCGTGTTGTCTCTCGCCATATTAGGGGTTTGGGGTTTTCTGCTGATCATTGTTTCTTTGTTGATACTATTAATGCATCGGGTGGGTTAGTAGTTGCTTGTTCCCCCGAAGTTAGCGCTTCGGTGTTTTATCATTCAAATTTTTGTATTGGTCTTAAAATTAATGAAGTTGATTTTCAGTACGTTGTGTTCTGTGTTTACATCAGTTGTCAGGCCAATATTCGCCTAAACCAATTGGCTGAACTAGGTGAGATTTGTGAGGCGCTACAACTGCCGTTTGTGGTGTTGGGTGATTTTAATGTCACTCTCTTTGCCCATGAAAAGGATGGCGGAAATCCGTGGAATGCATCCCAATCCATTGCTCTTCGGGAATTTGTTCATAACCTTGGTCTCCATGATCCCGGACACCAAGGTGATCTGTTTACTTGGACAAACAAACGAATGGGGCCTGCCTGTATTAGGGAACGGTTGGACAGAGCACTATGCTCACCGGGGTGGGTGGAAAGATTTCCGGAGACCATTGTGAAACATTTTACTGACCAAGGATCGGACCATCGTGCCTTGCTGCTGGCAGATAAACCTTACACCAGGAATAATCGGCCTCTATTTAGATTTGATGCTCGCTGGGCTGATAACCCAGAGGTAAAAGCAATGGTGACGTATGTCTGGAGTGAAAATGTCCCCGGTACCCCGATGTACCAGCTATGGGAACGGTTGAAGAAGTTGCGACATCTCCTATATGATTGGAGTAGGGCGGGTACGACCAATTCCCTGCGGAACATTCGCACCCTGCAAGCGGAGATTGAGAGGATTAAAGCGGTATGCCCGATTAATTGGGAGGAAGTTGGTACCCTTGAAACGGAACTGAGTAGACAGTGGGAGGCGGAGGAACTGTATTGGCAACAGAAGTCCAGAGTTCGTTGGCTGAAACGAGGTGATAAGAATTCCTCATATTTTCATACAGTCACGCGTACTCGGAGAAAAAAGAATTTTGTGCACGGCCTAAAGACGGAGACAGGGGAGTTGGTCACGGAGGAGGCGGGTAAAGCTGAAGTGGCATGTAATTTTTATCAGCATCTTTTCACTTCTGAGAGTCAGGTTCCAAACATGGCCGATCGGGTCGAAGCCCTCCCCATCCCTAGAGTGGTGACACCGGAGATGAATGCTAGCCTAACTGGTCCTGTTTCTCCGGAGGAGGTTCGCCGCACGGTTTTTGCTATGGGGTCAAAGCAGGCACCTGGGTCGGATGGGTTTACTGGCAAGTTCTTTAAAGCTTTCTGGATCATTGTTGGGGATTCAGTGATTGATGCGGTTGTTTCCTTCTTTGCAACTAGCAAGATGCTCCGCAGCTTTAATCACACGTGGTTGACACTGATTCTAAAGTAGAGAATGTGGAAACAATGAAACAGCTGCGGCCCATCAGCCTTTGTCAGTTTGTTTACAAAATTATTTCGAAGATCATGGCTACTAGGTTAGCTGCGTTTTTAATGTCCATTATATAGGATGGTCAAAATGCTTTTATTCGGGAGAGGCAAATTGTGGAGAATATCCTCCTGGGGCATGAGTTGATGCACTATTTGAAAATCAAAAACCGGGGGAAGAAAGGGTTTATGGCTCTAAAGGTTGACATGGAAAAGGCCTATGATAGAGTCGAATGGCCGTTTCTCCTCGCGGTCTTGGATAAAATGGGGTTTAATTCCACCTGGCGAGGATGGATTCAGGAGTGTCTGCGATCAGCCTCTTTTTCAGTTCTCATGAATGGTACTCCGGCTGGGTTCTTTGCCCCTTCTCGGGGGCTGAGGCAGGGAGATCCACTTTCCCCACTGCTGTTTGTCATTTGCACAGAGGGGTTTGCAGCTCTCCTTCGTAAGGCAATTTCGGAAAAGAGATTAGAAGGGGTGAAGGTCGCTCCCCGCTCTCCCCGCATTTCGCATTTGTTCTTTGCTGACGACTCCTATCTGTTCCTGCGGGGATCTCTCCAAGAATGTGAAAACCTGATTGAGGTCTTGAACGAATATGAGGAGTTAAGCGGCCAAAAAGTGAATCTGGCTAAGTCAGCAGTTTGCTTTAGCAAGAATATTGCGATGCCAGACCAGGAGTTCTTGGCACAGGTTTTAGGAGTAGGGGCAGTGGGGGTGCATGATAAGTATTTAGGATTGCCAACTTTAATTGCTCGATCCAAAATGGCAACATTTCGATACCTGGAGGACAAATTGTTGGAGAGGTTGCAGGGATGGAAGCAGAGAACGCTCTCTTGGGCTGCTAAGGAGACTTTGATTAAAGCAGTGGCAATGGCTTTGCCGTTACATGTGCTGTCCTGTTTTAAGATGCCGTTGGGCCTTTGTAGGCTGCTGGATAAGCATGTGGCCCGTTTTTGGTGGGGTATGAATGAGGGGATGCCAAAGATCCATTGGATGTCTTGGAGGAACCTCTGTCGAAGTAAGCATGAGGGTGGAATGGGGTTTCGCCGGTTTGAGCAGTTTAATCAGGCCCTCCTGGCAAAAATTGGATGGCGTATTCTGATGGATCCCCAGTCCCTTTTGGCCAGGGTTTATAAAGGAAAGTATTTCCCGCATGGTACGTTCCTTGAGGCCAAAGCTCGGTCGCGTCCCTCGTGGGGTTGGGTGAGTATCCTCCATGGACGAGAGCTCTTGATAGCAGGCGTGCGATGGCAAGTCGGGAATGGCCAGACCGCGCCGCTGCTGCATTCCAACTGGATACCGGGGTTACATCCTGACATTCCTGTTTTTAACCCTAGGGTGTTGCCAGTAGATCGGGAGCTGAAAGTAGCGGAGGTCATGTGTCAAGGAGGTGGAGGGTGGTGTGTGGAGAGCTTACATCAATGGTTTGATCCGGCGACTTGCAAGGCTATTCGTGCTATCCCTCTCCCAGCCCAGGGGGTGGAGGATAAACTGGTTTGGCATGGCACGTCGGATGGGATTTTCACGGTGAAGTCTGCATATCACCTTGCTGTCACTCTTGACAAACGGGGGGGACGGTGGAGGGATATGGTTAGCTGGATGGATAAAAGTAGTTGGATCCGTTTGTGGGATGCGAATATTCCGCCTAAGCTGAAGATTTTTGCGTGGCAAATTTTTAATCGCATTCTCCCTACGATGGAGGCCCTGGTTGAGAAGAAGGTGACGGTTATGCCACGTTGCCCAGTTTGCTGGGATGAGCTTGAGTCCTTGGAGCATCTGTTCCTTTATTGTCCGGTGGCTCGAGCTATGTGGGATTATTCTGGGATGGAGTTTTTGGGCGAGGGACTTCCGAGGCAGACCTTTCCTCTCTTCCTCAAGCGGTTATTGGCCTTGATCCATCAACCTTCACAGTTCATGGCTGTGATTGCAGTCCTGTGGAGGATTTGGAAATCCCAGAATTGGGTATCTTTTTCTCTTGATTAATATATATCTTTTGTTAAAATAAAAAAAAAAAGCAGAATTGCATTTTCATTATCATTTTCAAACCAGGGTTTGGATGGTACAGGGCCGGTACTGTAATTTTGAAGGCCTTTTTGGATACAAAATGTGGCCCAAACATTTTTTCAAATAAATTTAATACAATGAAGAAATATATAGAATGATGAGACCCATAAAAGCACAAAATGTAAGGCCTCCTTGGTGCTTTAGTTTGTGTGTGTTTTTTTCCTACTAATTAACTTATTTTGGTCCTTAAAATTCAAAAAGAATAAGTGATGTATTAGTCTACAAGATACGTAAAGGCAAAATATGGGTTGGAATTCTCCAATTTCAAATTTCGTGGTCTGAGAGTGATTCTAGGAAGGTCATTTTTTTCATTGCACCCAGTTCATGTTTATATATTAAAAATGTTATCGTTGGAGTTCGAACCTTGGTCACTTAAATGACAAAACAACATTATAACCATTAACCAACTAGGCTACATTTTATTTATTGGTGTTTCTTTGATTAAACTCTAGGAATATGTTTGGTGATGATGCTTCTATATTTCTATTTTATCTTAAGTTATTTATATTTCTACATAATATATAAAGGCAAAACATGGGTTGGATTTTCAGGGATTTGAATTCCGGGCTTGTGAGGGTTTCACGGAAGGGTAGTTTGACAACTTACCTGTCATTTTAGGTCATTCGTTTTTTGCTATCAATCCGCAAAGTGCCCTTTCAAATCATTCAATTTCATATATATAATCTACAAGATACATAAAGGCAAAACATGGGTTGGAATTCTCCCATTTCAAATTTCGTGGCCTGAGAGCGATTCGAGGAAGCTCATTTTTGTCATTGCACCCAGTTCATGTTTATATATTAAAAATGTTATCGTTGGAGTTCAAACCTTGGTCACTTAAATGACGAAACAACATTATAACCAACTAGGCTACATTTTATTTATTGTTGTTTCTTTTATTAAACTCTAGGAATATGTTTGGTGATGATGCTTCTATAATTTTATTTTATCTTAACTTATTTATATTTCTACATAATATATAAAGGCAAAATATGGGTTGGATTTTCACGGATTTGAATTCCCAGACCTGTGAGGGTTTCATGGAAGGGTAGTTTGACAACTTACCTGTCATTTTAGGTCATTCATTTTTTGCTATCAATCTGCAATGTGCCCTTTCAAATCATTCAATTTCATATCTATAACATGTGTCGTCATCAACAAATATGATAAATATTGGAAAACATTTTCATTGATGTGTTGGACTATATCACATATCAATTATAAATTCTTTATTTGTAAACATGTATATCACTATCAGTTCCATATATTTTATATTTACACGCATTATAAGTAGTAACAACACATAAAAAATGCATAACAATCTTCACTATTTACACACATTATAAGTGGTTATAACACATACAACATACATAATAATCAAACTCCCCAGCCAACAGGCGGGACATGGTGCTAGGGATTCTCAGATTAGTGAGGATGAAGAGATAGGATTAGAAGGAATCACTCGATACCCTGAGGAAGATGAAGTGGAACTTTTGAGAATCTGAGATAGGATTAGAAACCAGAAGGGAGTCGATCGATTGTTGGTGAAGGACAGATACAAGCTTTAGCTTTGGTTCCACTTCCTTGCCATTCAATCTGGTGGCCCAGTATTTGCCATTCTTTTGTGGGCTGGAAATCAATCAGACTGTTGGATTGATGGCCAAACATTTATTTCCTATTACTTTTTTTTTACGTTCATTTCATATAACATTTTTTCAACACATTTTATTACTTTCATCTCATATAATATTTTTATTATTGTTTGTAAAATTACAAATCAATTCTTTTAATTTATCTTCATAATAAACATTAAGCTGCTCTATCCGCATGGATAGTTTAATTTCAACTTCTCCCATAAACACTTCCATACAACAATTTTTAGATAAAACTTTCAGAGGTATTAACAACACATTTTTTGGGCAAAATTTTTGTACAAACACGAATTTATTACAAAATTTACCAAAACAATGAACTATTATTGGGTTTATATTTCAATTTTATCAAATAAGACGATTGTGCGTAGATTACCCGCCCAACGGGGTGGGCCCGGTGCTAGTAGATTCTGAAGGGGGAAAAATATATTAGTAGATTGAGCCCTCATTTTTTTTTTTTTTTTATTTCCGAGTGAAATCAAGAGAGAATAATAGTTATACATACAAATCTATCCAGGACCCCTTACAATTGATACCCTAGTGAAGCCACACAATAAAGTTGAAAGCCTCTAAATCTGGAAGAGACAAAAGCTGTGTTTTTACGCGCCACTCTATGGGAAGCATTGTTAGCAGCTCTAGAAACTGCCCTAAACTCTATACAAACTAACAAAGAGTCTAGGATCTGGGGACACTCTCGGAGGATCGGACCTCCAATTGAATCTTCTAGGATGCCTTGTCGAACATGGTTGACAACCACTTTGGAGTCACCTTCCACTATCACATGAGTCAAGGACCTTGAGGCAACGATGTTGATAGCGTCTCGAACGGCTAGGAGCTCTGCCAGGTAGGGGTTGACTACTCTTTGATGATGCAAACTGGATGTCAGCACCACATGCCCGTCTCACACAAAGACAACAAGACCATACGAACACCCTGACTCACAAACAGCTGCGTCAAAGTTGATCTTCAAATAGTCGTCCGACGGATGGACCCATGTGACGGGAGGAGCGCTTGGGAGCGATCTGCAGGATGGAGGAGGGGGAGAAGATTGGAGACTTCAAGGACATGGTTGTAGAATTGTCTGGCTAGGGAACAGACATGAGGTTGGTAGAATTTAAAAGTCACTTTATTTATAGACTTCCAGATTCTCCAAAGTAAGCATATGCACAGGAGAATGTGGAATGGGGAGGTCTCAGAGACCATGACATGTCGCCACCATAGACTAAAGTTAAAAGTCGGAGGGGGGGATCATTGAAGTTGCTCAGTCCCACTAACGTCCACAATTTGGTGGCTAGGAGGCATCTGAATAATAAGTGTTCAATAAAGCTACATCAAGAGCATTAGAAGCATCATAAAGGGTCCAAAAAATTTATTGAAAAAAGTTTCCATTAAAAATTTGGCAAAAACCAAATTTAGTATCTCCATTTAATAGAAAATGAGAACCGCTAACTATTGAAAGACTCGATAATGATTAGGACTTTACTACGGTGACATGCACTTTTCGGTCGACCTAATCTGTTGTTTCAGTGTAAAAATAGTTTCATGGTGCCTACTTTGGAGATTCATCAATTGGCTAGATGGAAATTGGAGATCAATGGTTTATTTTGAAGCTGAGGTGTCCCTCTACACATTAAAGTACTTGGAAGCTCAATAAAAAGTCCAGAAGACCATTTTTGAACCTGATCAAAAGGCTATGCCAAAACTGGAAAATTGGCTGAAAATGACTAAGTCTGGGAACGTGTTTGTGAAGCCTACTTTGGAACTCAATTTTAGAAGCATGGATGCGAATCGAGTCCAGGGGCCTCTACCATGTTAAATTAGGTATGTTTTTATACAAATTCAAGGCATTGGATCAAAGATTGGAAATCTGTAAGGCTTCAAACAAAAAGGTCGATGTTGCTACGAAGGTTGTTTCATCTCCCACAACACAAACCTAACCCCAACTTTCGTGAAAGCTTCAAAATGAATTTTGAGTAAAAAAAAAAAGAAAGAATTTGATGTCTAGAATTTGGTTTACTAGAGCATCATGAAGGTCAATGATCTTGAACATTTTCTCTGGCGATCAACAACTGAAATTGAAGAGTTTGGCAGCGTGAATCCATCGCGTGATCTTGCGCCGAACATTGCCCCGCGCGGGGCGAGTAAAATCTGACATGCTCCATCTCTATCACTTTAATCACTTCCCCTTCTCCTTCTCGCCTGTATTTGAAGGTGAGCTGAAAGCTGAGCGATGTCTAGAAACTCCTCCCTGGATCCCTACTTTGGATCTTGCTGTTATGGCTGCAAAGCCAATCAATTCATGTTCTCCAACGATAGCAGAGGGAAGAGATGCTTGGGTGTGAAGGGAGTGACAACGAGATGTTTAAATCCAATTTGAAGAAGTTGGAGATCAAAACTCAAGTGACTAGACGAAAGAAGAAGCCGCAAAGAAGTTCTCACGGGGAGTTATGATAATTAATTGGGGTTAGAGAATTGGGGATGGGTTTGGAACTGAATATAAACAAAGCTCAAAAGCGTACTGAATTGGGAAGGAAAGGTATATGTTTTCTCGGCGAGAAAATCTAGATGAACAGATTGGATTTTTGTACCTTTTTGACTTCCAAGCAAATGATTGAACAAACACGGTCCACACCTCTTTGAACAAAGTTCAAACAAGGGTGTTCAATGTTCTTGATGAACTACGAGGCAAACTAAATTACATTAATTCTACTCCTATGGAGGTTCAACAAGAGCTCCGAAACTACAACTATGGCTACATTTGCAGAGGAAAAGGTAAAGTTAAAAGGATAAAATTTGACAATAGGTTGTCTGGTGTGATTTTGGCGAACCCTCTCTCCGTCATCTTCACCTCCTATTTATAGCCACCAGAAGTAACTGCTTCGAGAAACTGCTCTGCTGACGTGGAGTGGCGGTTACCCTCTCAACTGCTTCGACGGTTACCCTGAAGTTGGATGTGCCACCTTCTTCAGCCCTGACCACCTCCTCTTGAGATCCCATTCCCTGCTCTTGGTATCTCCTTCATAGCTTCGCTTGTCTATAGAGAAAAAATGGCTAAGGCATGATGGAATACCACGTGCCACATATGGGGTGGGTATTTGAATAACATGAATTAAAAATGGCAAAAATACTTCACCAATAGGAGAGTAAAGAGACCACGTGTGGGCATCCCCCATGGGGTCATATGGATCACCCCACCACTATATCATCCTCATGGTAGCTGGTGTTGGTGACCCCTCACCCCCTGATCATACCATGGGGGTGCTATGTTGGTGGTCCCCAGACCACCTCATGGGGGTGCTCCTTCCACCCTCATCATCTTCCATACTTAGCCACATTTTACATCTGCTCCCCTCGCCTTAGCTAAATTCGGTCATCACCCCCCTCACCATGTCATGGGGGTGGCAGTATGATGTCCACCCTCATTGGTATCTCCTGGGGGTGGTGGTATGATGCCCACCCCCCTTACCACATCCTGGGGGTGGCTCCCATACTCCTTGCCTTAGCCAAATTCGGCCATCACCCTCCTCACCACATCCTGGGGGTGGTATGATGGTGGCCACCCCCCTTGGCATGTACTGGGGGTGGCTCCCATACTTCTTGCCTTAGCCAAATTCGGCAATCACCCCCATCACCATGTCATGGGGGTGGCGGTATGATGTCCACCCCCCTCTGCGTGTCATGGGGGTGGCTCTCATACTTATTCAAATTTGGATATGCATGGCGTGCGTGGTGGCATGGAGTAATGGGCCCAAAAACCCAATCCTCATGGCCCACTCAACTGATTTAAACTGATATGATTAAGTTGGCCTTATAAAGCCATTTAATTCCTTGTTTTTAACCGATGTGGTACAAAGTTAATTTTTGGTGTAAACAGTATCAAACACATATAGATCTGGAAAGGAAATGAAGCCTTTGTTTCTGTGATAGAATTGGAGGAGGAGTCGAAAAGGGATTTTGGCTCTACGGGTGCTCATAGAGAAATGTATATATGGCCTCTCAACCCTAATATTATGCATGCATCATTTACAATGAAACATACTACAACCGACAATAAAAGTACAACCCATACAACACATATACACATAGCGTCATCATGGGCTCTCGTCATTAACTCCAATAGGACCAACACTTGAAAAACTAAAGGAAACGTCGTCGTTTCAGTTTGCAGAGTCAGTCGAGTGGCTTATTTCTATCTTAGTCATTGTTTGTGTAGAGTGCACAATTGAGTCTTGTTAGTTGTTAGTCTTGTTAGAGATTTTATAGTTGTTAGTTGGGTCATGGTTTCTGATTTGTAGGAACCATGAGTCAAGAGAGTGGGTCGTGAGAGGTCGTGTTGTGACTGGAGCACAACGGTTTATATTCTCTTCACTAGCAAATTAATAAAGCTTGTCAGGTTGCAAACAATTGAGTTAACATTGTGGTATCAGAGCTCAAGCAAGTTGTAACCAGAAAGGCTTTCAAGCAAAGAGTGATAGAGGTAAAAGTATGTTTTGAATAGCATATAAAGGGATTGGGAAACACGAGAGTTTGTGTGAGGTGATTCAATCTACGGTGAGTGCAAGCTACTGTCAAGTAGTTGTGAATCTGTCAAGATGAGTGATTCAGGGAACTTTGCTCAAGTAGGTCTTCCTCGCTTTGATGGAGACTATGATCACTAGAGTCTCCTAATGGAGAACCTGCTGAGATTAAAGGAGTATTGGCCTGTTGTTCGTGATGGTTTGAAAGAGCAGAAGGAAGGAGAAGAAGTATCTTAAACTGAAGTCAAGGCAAGGGATGATCTGCAGTTGAAGGACTTGAAGGCAAAGAACTACCTCTTCAACTCCATTGACAAATCCTTTCTCAGGACTATCTCCAATAAAGGTACTGCCAAAGATATATGGGATTCAATAAAACCGAAATATCAAGGCAATGCTAGGGTTCAGAAATCAAATCTCCAGGCTTTAAGAAGAGATTTTGAAATCATTGAGATGAAAGAAGGTGAATCTGTGAATAGTTATTTTAGCAGAATCATGACCATAGCAAATGCCATGAGGAACTGTGGGGATGAGATGCCTTATGTGAAAATTGTAGAAAAAGTGCTAAGGACCCTTACAGACAAATTTAACTATGTGGTCTGTTCGATTGAGGAGTCAAAGGACATTGAGGATCTGTCTGTGGATGCCCTTCAAAGTTCTTTGGTTTTTCATGAACAAAAAATTCAGGAAAAGAGGGTCTGCAGATGAAGATCAGGTACTCAGAACTACTCATGAGTTTGGTAGTAGGGGAGGACGAGGTCAAGGAAGAGATTTCTTTCTAGGGAGAAGTAGAGGAAGAAGTGGTGGTAGAGGTTGGAATAGAGATTCTGTGGAATGCTATAAGTGTCACAAATTGGGGCACTACAAGAATGAGTGCCCATATCAAACTTCTAATGTCCAGTGTCTTCAAACTGGAAATGTCTCAGAATCACAGGTGAGCTTGTGGCATAGGAGGTTTGGACATATCAGTCCTCAGAGCCTTCAGCAGTTGCAGAAGGAGTTGGTACAAGGGTTGCCACAACTGCAAGGCAACACTGGAGTATGCAGTACCTGCCTAACTGGGAAGCAACACAGAAACTCCTTTCCAAAGAAGAGTCAGTGGAGAGCATCCCAAAAGCTGCAATTGATCCATGCAGACTTGTGTGATCCAGTAACCCCAGCTTCAAACAGTGGTAAAAGGTATATCTTTACCCTAACTGATGACTATAGCAAGAAATTGTGGGTGTACTTCCTAGCTGCTAAGTCAGAAGCTTTGAACTGGTTCAAGAAGTTTAAGTTTCAGGTTGAAAAGGAGAATGGTTTGTACATTACTTGTCTCGGAACTTATAGGGGAGGGGAGTTCATGTTGGCTGAGTTCAAAGAGCTTTGTGATGAGGGTGGCATAAGGAGACAGTTGGCAACTGCTCTCACTCCACAGTAGAATGGAGTAGCTGAGAGAAAGAATCGAACTGTGATGAATATGGTGAGATGCATGATTCAGGATACTCATGTACATGTTGTCTTCAGGGCTGGAGCAGTTACCTGGGCTACACATGTGCTCAACAGAAGTCCTACAAGTGCTAATCAAGGAATCACTGCATAGGAGCTTTGGACTGGACACCCTCCATCAGTGGAACATTTCAAGGTCTTTGGTTGTGTAGCTTATGTACACACTCCTGACCAAAAAAGGAAGAAATTGGATAGCAAGAGTTCACAGTGCTACTTTCTTGGTGTCTCAACTGAGTCTAAAGCATACATGTTATTTGATCCTGCTACAAAGAAGGTTGTAGTGAGCAAGGATGTTGTGTTTGATGAAGCCAAGGGGTGGATGGAAGTCTCAGAAGGAGCAGAAAGCCCTAAGCTGGTTTGGGATGGAAGTGATGAATTTTGGGATTCCTCAGACACCGAGGAAGAGTTCACTGCAGATACTGGTCCTGGTACTGATGTGTTGGGATTACCTCCCATGTCCAGGCATCCACCTCCTCGTTTATCCATCTATGACTGCAGTTTTGCAAACACAGACTGGATATTGATGATAGCTATCACTGATGATCCTTAGACTTTCGAGGAAGCATATAAAGATCCATGGAGGAAGGCAATGGATCTAGAGTTTGATTCAATTGAAAGGAATCAAACCTGGGAGCTGGTTGACCTGCCAGAAGGTGCAGTGGCAATAGGATGCAAGTGGGTCTATAAAAGAAAATTAAAGGAAGATGCTTCTCTAGACAAACGAAAGGCTAGACTAGTAGCCAAGGGATTTGCTCAGAAGGCTGGAATTGATTATACAGAGGTATTTGCTCCTGTAGCTAGGTGGGACATAATCAGAACCATTCTGGCTTTGGCGGCCTATCATGGTATGTCAGTATATCAACTAGATGTCAAATCAGCCTTTCTCCATGGGGAGCTTACTGAGGATGTTTACCTGGAGCAACCTCAAGGCTTTGAAGTTGTTGGGGAGGAACACAAGGTCTATAAGCTCAAAAAGACTTTGTATGGACTCAAACAGGCTCCTAGAGCATGGTATAGCAGAATTGAGGGCTACCTGCAGAAGACTGATTTTGAGAGGTGTCCGCATGAACACACATTGTTCATCAAGAAGAAGGAATATAGATCTAGAGCAGGTATTCTGATTGTATCAATTTTTGTGGATGATGTGTTATATACAAGCAATTGTGAAGAGATGATTGCTGGATTTTAGCATTCCATGGAATCTGAGTTTGAAATGATAGATTTGGGGAGGATGAGATATTTTCTGGGTATCGAAGTGATGCAATCAGAATCTGGGATCTTCATTTGTCAACAAAAGTACATTAAAGAAGTTGTCTAAAGCTGGGGATGGAATTTCAGTAAATCCCACTGAGTTTAAACAACTCATTGGGAGCCTACTCTATGTCACTGCAACTAGACCTGAAGTAATGTACTATGCCTGTCTTCTAAGTAGGTTCATGGAATCATCAACTAGACAACATCAACTGGCTGCTAAAAGGGTCCTACTTTATCTAAAAAGAATTACAAGGTCTGGATTCTGGTACAAGAGATTGGAAGGAGAGAACAGATTGTTGGGCTATACTGATAGTGATTATGCTGGAGATGTGGATAACAGAAGAAGCACCAGTGGTTATGTGTTCTTCCTTACAGGTGGAGCAATATCCTGGGCCTCTAAAAAGCAACCAATCGTCACTCTCTCCACCACAGAAGCTGAGTTCATTGTTGCAGCATACTGTGTGGGTCACTGTGTGTGGCTAAAGAGAATTCTAGAAATCGTGGGATGGAACTCGAGTGCAAAAGGTTGTACAACTATTCTCTGTGACAGTAGCTTAGCAATTAAGTTATCCAAGAACCCAGTGTTGCATGGAAGAAGCAAACACATCGATGTTAGATATCACTTTAGGGATATGGCAAAGGAAGGGGTCATAGAATTGGAACATTGCAGCACATATGAACAAGCTGCAGACATCATGACTAAGCCGCTAAAGCTAGAAAGTTTTCAGCTCCTGAGGAGTAAGTTGGGTGTGTGTGATCTTGCAGAGTTCACAGGTAAGGAAGTGAACTGAAGCTTCCAAACCGGCTTCAGTTCAGGGGAGGATTATGTTGAAGGTTGAACAACAGCAACATGAAGAATCTGAATCCTTTTAGGAAAAGGATTGCTTGTGGCGCCAAGTTCAAACAATAGTCAAATAAAGGAAACGTCGTCGTTTCAGTTAGCAGAGTCAGTCGAATGGCTTATTTTTGTGTAGAGTGCACAATTGAGTCTTGTTAGTTGTTAGTCTTGCTAGAGATTTTATAGCTGTTAGTTGGGTCATGGTTGCTGATTTGCAGGAACCATGAGTCAGAGAGTGGGTCGTGCGAGGTCGTGTTGTGACTGGAGCACAAGGGTCTCATCATTAGCCAATTAATAAAGCTTGTCAGATTGTAAGCAATTGAGTTAACATAGATTAGTTTACAAAATAACATAAAAAATGACTCATCAATTTAATAAAATGAAAAAATGACTTGATCAACGCTTAGATGTCAAAACAATATTATTTTATTATGACCATTAGTCAATTAGACGGAAAAATGAATGCCCAATTTAAAGACAATAGTGATACCCGATATCCTATTTTAAGTTAAGTGATATAATTCCTTCATTCTCAAATTTAAGTGGTATCCGAGGTATTTTAAATGAAGTTTGAATAGAAACTTGAAACCAGTTTGACCTCTTCATTTTTATATATTTGTCTCGAGAGTTTTCGCCCGGTATCCAAGTTGACCCAGCTAGACCATCTTATCCGTTTTTCAACTTCTAGCTGGGTCCTTGGCACAGTCTCCTTTCTAGTTTCTACTAAGCTGAAGCTTAAACCCTGGAAGAACCTCTCCAAAATCCCCAATGGGAATTTCGGAGCTGGCCCATTAGAGTAGCGCGCCGCGTGGTCTATCCAATTAACCTGCTTAAGCTGCAACAATGGTTTCTCTACCAGCAACCTGGCTTTACCAAGGTTCACTATCCCATTCTCTGATCACCTCCGTTCCTTCCAATTCCATCCCTAGGTTCTTACTCCGCCGCGGTGCTTAACTAGTTTTCTATTTCTCGTGTTTCTAGATCGAGGTTTGAGGATTACAATCTCACCACACCGCTTCAGGAAGCCAGGTTTGTCTTCGCTATTCCCGTCCGGCGTTTGTGCGATTCGGTCTCGAAAGCAGCTTCGTTTACTTCATCGGATAAGGTGCGAGAACGAGGACGAAGATGAAGGGATTGAACATGTATACGTCGAGCGTCCTCCGTACCACAGCTATTTCGACTCCACGTCCGGCCAACTGGAGCCGGCGTCCGGTGCCCGTGCCAGTATCCCGGGAGAAGATTGTTGGCCCGAAGGCACTTCGGATAGGGTTAGGGCCGCCAGGGCTCCGGCGCCGGCGGGGGCGATATCGGCTGGGTCTTCCTCTAACGGTCAAAATCCTGGAAGCAGGAGGAGGAAGCACAGAGCATCGGCCACGGGTCCTCGATCTTCAGATGCAATCATCGAAGTGAAAGATTTGGGGAATGTTGCTGCAGAAGAAACCATTGTCGAGGAGGAGGAGACGGCGGAGGAGCCCAGAGATGAATCTTCTGAGTATGTGATTTATCAGATGGAACCGGAGGTGGAGGAAGAAACGGGGTTTGCATTGGACAAGAAATTGGGAAGGCCCCATCCGTTTATTGACCCCAAGGTGAAGAAGCCGATAGAGGGGACCCTTCCTGAGGAAGAACTGTGGTGGAACTGGAAGAAGCCAGAGGAGGAACAATGGTCAAGGTGGCAAAGGAGGAAGCCCGATGTTGAAACGGTCAGTAAGCCTAATGAGGAAAGGAAAATTCACTTTACTTGCTGATCATGAGCCATATCTCTGCTGAAAGAAACTGTATTTGTCTATGTTGTAAGGTATTCCTCAAAGCAATGGCTGAAAATGGGGAAGTTAAACTCTACGGCGAGACTCCCACGTTGACCGAGACTGCTCTCTACCGTGCCAGGAAGCATCTTTATAAGGAGGAAAGGTAACAGCAACCGGGGATCTTCTATCTCAAGTTCTATTTCTGACTCGATGGCTTAAAGTTAGCCATAGCTGTTAACATGGCATGGTGTCCTTTCTTTGGTAGACGTACTTCCTCATGAATATGATTCACTATCTAACATCAGTATTACTTCAGCCCTTCTGGGTGTCTTTCACCTGATGAATATGATTCACTATCTAGAATCTATCTCTGATTGTAGTTTGTCTCCAATGAATGGGTAGGCTTCGACTTGAGCAGGAAAAACTGGAAAGAATAGGCCCGATGGCATACTATTCAGAGTGGGTGAAAGCATGGCAGAGAGACACTTCACGCGAAGCTGTAGAGAAGCATTTTCAGGAGACTGGACAAGATGAAACCATGCAACTAATGGAAATGTTTAGCTATCAAACTGATAGAGAATATCGTATAATGATGGGTACTGATATTCGCATCAAGAGGGATCCTTTAGCAATGCGGCTCAAAGAAGATCAAATAAAGCAAAGTAATTGATTCTATTCTGATTAGTCTTGTGTGGATCCCCCATCCTGTTGATTAGAAAGTGATATTGTGTGTTTAGAACTGCTCAGTTCCATATAGTTGAAATTAACCAAACTGGTGTTATCTGTTTGATGCATCAGAGGAGAAACAAAGATGAGAAAGTGTTTGCTTTCATGTTTCTCGCTTTTGTCTCCTCTTGTAGCTGACATTTTTATTGGTTGTGCAGTTTGGGGTGGAGATCCAGTTTACCCAACAATCAACTACAAGCAGGATCCAAATGAAATCATTGATTACAGGGGTCCAGATTTTCATGAACCAACACCCAATATGGTGGCATACCTAAAAGAGGTTCACAATCTTGTCTCGATATAGTGATGAAGTTACCTTTTATTATATATCTTCGATTAGTTTCTCTTTCCTGTATTGAGCGATCAGCTGTTAGAAAGTTGAAGCTTGACCTCTTAAGCTTACGTGCTTTATGACGGATTGCTTATGTGCATGATTTTCGAAACCTGATACGAGTAATTATCAGTGCTTGCTAACATCTTAATGATTGCCAGTCTGCTGAAGTCTTCGTTTCAGGGCTAGATTTTTAAGTGGGGAACACTTGTAGTCTGATGGAAAATATGTACACACATCCATGAAGCATATGATTTAGTAAATGATACGACTTCTTTGAGGCTAATAATGTATATTCAACAATTGAATCCTGTTAGATTAAGTGGTCTGACTAGTATATATGAGTTTGTCGGATGCAGAAATATTAGAAAAGGCAACATTTTTAAAGATAAACCACTTCATAACCCTTGCTTCAACTTTCTACGTAGTAGTACGTACTAACCTGCTTGGACCTTCTTTGTTAATTTATCGATCGATTGATTGTGACGATTGCAAAGTGCTAACCCTCTGTTTTGATCAGCATGGCAAGCTCATATCCAGAGACGAACTTGAACAAACTTTAGCAAAAGAAAAGACGGAACAACTTGAAGTAAGTCATTCTGACCCTCCTCTTTCTCACATGACTTGTTTGCAAGAAAACTCAACTCTCATGCAAACCATCTATCGTGCTGTCATTTATTGCACCTTCCATGTGCTATAATTTCGTCCCGGAACTTAACATCTAATGCATGTTGTTTCCTCTTAATGTTGAATTAGCAGTTGACGGACATGGATGACGCCATGGCACGAGCGGTAGACATTGGTGAAAATGATGTGAGTTTCAGCTTTTCTCTTCATTCCTACGAGCCGCATTATGCATTGCGCAACGTGGAAACTATCAGCCTCATTTTATTACTAACACTAGAAAGCCGGTCACATTTGTGAAGGAGGAGGAAGAGACCAGTGATGTTGAAGAGGAAGACGAAGACAGCAAACTTCCCCGCAATTGGAGCGTTCTGAAAACCGCTCCTGAACTTCGCAAATCAAAGGTAGGTTGTCGAACGAATCTTCTCTCCCGAACTACCTACTGAAGTAGGAGGAGAACTCAAGCCAATCATTCATTGTTGACTGGAAGAAGAACCAAAGAACCCATTTTTCTTATGCTTTCCTTTTCACTAAAACATGCTGCTGGTTTTTCTTGTCTTTGCGGGGTTTTCTCATTCCTGCTCTCTTTTTGGTGGGACTTGCAGCCCAAGGCCAAGAAGGAGGGTGCCATGAATCTGGATGAAGCCATAGATGATTCTGAGAACTTGACCGACTTTCTAATGGACTTCGAGGAAGAGTGACTGTGTGTGTGTAAATTGATTCAGCAGTTTGTAGGCAGAGAGCAGCTTTGGTTTTGTAGTGATGATTATGAAGAAGTAGAGAGACCAGTCCAGGCGCTGTGAGGAATCAAGTTTGTAAAGCGGGCCACAATGGAAGCTTGCATAGGTCCAGTAGCAGAAGAAAGCCCTGGTCTTGAATAGGGCCCAAACTATAGAAGATTCTTAAGCTACTCTAGTAGGCTACGAGAAAAAGGGAATCCAACAGGGAAAAGTGTTTATTCCGGATTTTGGGGGAATTTGGTAATCAGACTCCATAATATGGTGCAAGGGTTGAGGGATTGGTGGTGTTTGAAGTAATCAGTAATTCCAAGGAACCTACCTACTCTTCTCAAGCCTATAAGTATAAGCTACAACCAAATTGGAAAACTTCAACCAAGCTGGTCGCTGTGCTTCTCGGTTTGCTCCCATTCCCATAAGCCAACTACCTTCTTGACACAGGAGAAGGCGTGAATTCTGGGGGTGGATATTAGTTTTCTATACAGCACCACCGCCTTTCCTCGTCTCTGTGCTTAAAAATTAAAAGGAGCCCCTCAACTTGGTCGTTTTAAATATCTGTTTTTATGCAAACCAAAGTTCATCACAGTGAAATGAACCCACTCACTCACTGCTCACTTATTTAATCATTATGGATATAAACAAAAAATCATTATTCCCAGAGCTCTCTTGATAAATACAGTTTGAACCCAAGAAAACATACACAAAACAAAAAAGAGTATAGTAATGAAAATGATGGGACCAAATAGAAAAAGGGTAACAATTAAAAGGGGGCTGGGGGAAGAGGAATTTAGGGGAAGGGGTGTGGGGTTTGGTTTGATTTTGATTTTGATACCTTTGAAAAAATGAAAAAAACTGGGCACCTACCATCTCAGCCAGCCAGCAGCCAGTGCAGCACTTATTATTAATAGCAGCAACTAGCAAGTTGCTGGGGAAAACAAAACTAAACAAAAGGTACATATCATTTCTGAGTTCTAAATCTGCAGAATGCAGTGAAGGTATTAATTTTTCTTGTTCTTATATATTCGGAGAACATCGTAATCTAAGTTATACAATCAAATTAAGTTATATTTAGATAAGACGGCAGGGTTTCATATGCCACTTCATGCTCCAGTCCAATTGACAATCTAGAGAACACTTCAAACTCTAATCGCGAACGTAGAGTTGATACAACCCGAAGACATTCTCGTAGAATAGAACTATCCACCACGGTGGAATCCACATCACCAACAAGTTGATGAACCACCCTTGTTGAGTCTCACTCGAGAATGACACCCTGCAGATGAAGGCTGGACACTAAAAGCATGTCCCCAACTACTAGTGATATAATCGTTGGATTTAAGGTCTCTTTTTTTTTCTTCTTATGATAAAGACTAGCGTACGTACATAAATAGCTTAATCAGCAAATATATTTAAAATAACATCAATTCAGACTTTGTTAGGACAATATCAGTAGACTCTTCCTAGCTCCCTTCTCATCCCTCTTGTCTGTATGAGAGAAAAATCATTCAACGAGGCACATTATTATGAATTTGGCCTTTGTGGCCCATAGTGCCTTCCAGAGAGAGCACTTTACCACCATCATTTCATTTCAATGAATATCCATGGGAGGAGAGGAGGCATTTGCTCCATAAGAAAGAAAGAATGCCAGAAATTGTCCCTCTGAATTCAGTCTCCATCTACCCTTAATTTTTTTTTTTTCAATTTTGCACCATCTCCTGCCTGCCCCACAATATCTATCTGATAAACTTTCCAAGATCTCAAAAGTGGTTCATATTACTACTTTATTCATTCAGCAGCATCCTTCCTTCTTCTTTCTTCCCTAATAATCCCCCATTATTAAACAATTTCCTCCACAGTTTAGTTATTAATTAATAAACTGAAATGATATTAAACTCAATTAATTAAAAGGGCCATCATGCTGTGTTTTCTGAACCATACTCTGTCCACCTGAATTATTGTTCTCTGTGTATGTATTTGTTTATGGGAGTGGAGTGGGGAGTGGTCCCTTTTTCTTCTTCTCTTTGCATAGGTTGGAATCTGCCTTGGACTTGAAATAATTACCATCAGCTGAAGGGATATTAGAATCTGTGTAGATTAGATCACTGAAGAGAGGTGGAGAGAGGGCTAGCAAGAACGAATCCTCCAGTCCAGGCACAGCCACGTTTGATGGCTCAAATCCTGCCTACTCATAGGGAAATGATCTTGTAAGTTTTCTTTTAGAAGTGGGTGGAGAGCAATGATTGAATGTGTTAATACTTAATAAGTAACATGAGACGTTAGCCTCCTAATATATTATGTAAGATTTAATGCATGAGAAGTTTATTAGAATTGAAAAACGATATGGTGTGTGTGTGTGGGGGGATATAATTGATTGACTCAACAAACATATGTGAAATGTGAGCAACGTGGTAAAGGTTTAGAGGATGTCGTTACTCGACTAACAAATGAGATGAGGAAAGAAAGAGGTATCAAACATTTTGCAGTCCTAACATGTGACTGTAAGGATGATATTGTACTTGATTATGAAAAGGGCGACTAAAAGCACACCAACCACACAAGTCCACAACTTATTGTGTTTAAGGCATGAGTTGAATCATATCTTTGGAGACTGGAGTGACTGTAGTAGAAAAGACTCCAAAGACCAAAGGGGAAAAAACAGATAAATGAAAGTAAAAAAAAAAATTAGGATTTTTCTTCGGTTCATTTAGAGAGAAAGTCATGATCGACATCACAATAATGTTAGCGGCTGTGAAAACCAACACAACCATCATCGCGATTGTGATGAGCCCCATATCAATCAAATTGTTCTAATTAAATTCTGAAAAATTTGTGTCAAACAATTGATGGTCTAACTCATGGATATGGCCCATCCTGGCATATATACTATCACAACAAGAGCGTGACATTGATCATATCACCAATTATTATATGCAAAGTTTCATGAGCTTTTGGGCTTAGGTATAGACATGAGCTTCATTCAGTATTTGTCCTCCATCTCGACCCTGAAAACTATGTACTCAGAGCGTTTGATCATCCATTTGAACTTGCTCATCCTCTTTGGATTGGAGGATTCTCTCGAAGGATCATGACGACTTCTTGTGGGTTGTGGTTTAACTAGATGTAACTTGAAAAATATCTTGATAACATCACATTAATAAGGGGAGTCATTAGAGGTGGCAATTCTCAATCCAATCCACCAATCCAATCCACCAACCCATTAAAAATATCCACCTAATCCAATCCATTTAATCCAAATCCAATTGGATTGGTGGATTCATGGATCAATCCATGGATCCAAATGGCAAATTACTATTTGGTACCTATACTTTTTATATTTTACATTTTGGTACCTAAAATTTAATTTTTTATACGAAAAATCTTATTGGAAAATTACGTTTTGGTACCTAAAATTTTTCATTATGACATTTTAGTACCTAAACTTTTCACATTTTACATATTGGTTCAAGGTTAAGGATGTCATTTGGATTCATGGATAATCCACCAATCCACTTGATCCAATCCATGAATCCACCAATCCATTGGATCCAATCCATTTTATCCATAAATCCACCAATCCAATCCACGAATCCATGGATCGATCCATTTGCCACCTCTAGGAGTCATTGGATTATTATAGACAAGCTACCTAGTTTGCAAGATAGTATATGAACCTACCAGATCGTCTATATTGCGTGTCAACTTGTTATGCAAAATCGTTATTGACCTAAACTATTGAGCGCTCATCAATCCCTCTAAAAAAGTACTCTATTTTAGGTCGATATCAGAGGACTTGGAAAAAGTTAAAATTAGTTTAAGATGTTAGCAAGGGTTTGATCGTTGTGAGTGAAGAAAGAGTAGTAGGGAACAAGAGACAGGCTTCGCATACCTCAGGGAGACCAGATTAAGTAGATGATTAAGAGTGTGGGTCAAGCTAATTTAACCAACACAATTTGTGTAACAAAAAACAATCATTTCTTTGTTAATAATGCGTGTGTTTATTTAATTCATTTTCCTCGGTTCTGTTTGCTTCCCTTTGCACTCTATTTAGTGGGCTTGTCGCAGACAGAGCAACTGTTTTGCCACCTTAAACAAGGTCATCAAAACAACAACAATAACAAACCACCAGCAGAAAGAAAGCAAGACAAAAGGAGGGACAAGGAATTTTAGGGTTGTCTTCTTTTCTACCCTTCTTCTTTGATGCATCTGCTACACCAAAACTACTTTTTTTAGAGATGCTTTATTATAGTATTCTTCCTAATTCGATAGTCGAACAGATACCCCGTTGTAATCTAAAGTTTCAATTGTTCGTTACAGATTAACTTTGGACCGTGAGATTCGTCTTTTATTGCACATATTTGGAGAGGCTAACTTTTTTAACGGATTACTTTGCCTATCAAGATCATTTATCTCTTTGTTCACTCCATTTTAAAGAGCCCATATTATGTTTCAACTTATTAGATCGTGCATGACTATGGAGGAGTTGTTGCCCCTTGTTTCGTTGTGTACCATCAATTAAAGGAGGAAAATGAAATCCATATTTGAGAACAATATGGGTTGTTTGGATATTGGAGCATTTTGAAAATGAAACATTTGGATATAACATCTCAATTAACTAAACATTTTCACGTTTGCAGCCCGACTAAAACGAAACATTATGAACTAAAATATATACTCATCATCGAAAGGGTGATGAGCAAAAACAAAGGCTTTTAAGTAACGATTGTCGTGCCCTGTAATGAATGGTACTTCATGTTTCTGTGCTAAGCATTTGTTATTGATAAATGTCCAATTCTTCATTGAATGCCCGGTCATTACACAGAGATAGTGGAAGAAAGTTGGTCGAGAGTCGAGACTCAAGAACGTCCAATTTTTTATGCTCAAATTCAAACCCCCCACATTAGAGATACCTATCTCTTTCTTTCTAAATGAGACGATTGCATAAAATTGTGTTTAGACTTTAGACGCATTTTGTCTTAAATCTCATTGTAATACATCATCCAGATGAAGGGGGGAAAAGAATAGGAAATTATTACAAAACAAGCAATGTAAGGTCAACCCAATTTGTTTCCATCCCACGTTTTGTGTCTGTCTAAAACACAGCATGCCCCCAAACCCTACTTTAAACGGCTTGAAGCCTCTTCTCTAATCTCTTCTTCTGCATGCCTTATTCTCTCACTCACAATCTCTCTCTCTGTCCCTCTTGCAGTATGTGTGTGTTTCCCCTGATTATCATTAATCATGATTAGTGGGCACCAGGCGCTTGTCCCTTAATGACTATCATCACCATCATCAATTCCATAAACAAACCAACACAATTAATTAACCAAAGATCGATCAGATCAGATCGTGGTCATGGGCTCCACTCTTAATTCAACCATCAATTATTCTCCCTCTCTCAAGTCAAGTGTCGTATTTTGTTGGAACATCAATAGTCAAGACAAACAAATATCCCTAATTCCCCCCATGCCCACAATTGATTGATTATTAGTGTGCCTAATTGTTGATTAAAAAAGCAATAAATATGGAGAAAATCTTAGATTGGTATGAGATTTTTTTTTAGGGTTGGCCACGTCAACGTTAGGGGGGTAGTCATCACAAGATAGCCTAGTGTTCAACGACGTCCTAATTAACGTGGAATTATATTATATAGATATTATGGGCAGGAATTTAGGAGCGAATCTTTTAACTTTTTTGGCGGTGCATACAATTGTTTATTGTCACGGGTAATATAATTGACCTTATTATTATTAGGTTTCTTAATTACTACAGTTAATGACGTGCACGTATTTGGTAACTTTATATATAGTTTTGCAATATTAAAAAGACCTAATCATATAATTAGGATAATATGAATGTTAATCCACTATGGCTGGAAAGTGGAAATGTTCCAGCTGATCGAGCTCCACGCGCGTGCTAATTAGAAGTCATTACAAATACAAACTAATTGGATGCTCTTCGTCTAATTAATCGTGGATGCCTGTTCCAAAATTGAGATATAGTTCAAGTTGGATTTTAGATATGATAAAATGAGGATGGCTATAGCATCGTTATTTAAAATGTAATATATTCCTAGCATGGTGTAATATAAAATTATATATTAGCTCTTTGATTTTTGTATTCTTTACGATATTATTTCAATTGTTGTCATACTCATAGCTAATTCATGAAGTCTTTCTTGTGTCATTATTTAGCATAAATATGTTTTCGACACACAAGCGGGACCTTAACAACCATCGTATGTGCCTCATATCTATATATACACGAGAATCTTGACTAATAATTAGCATCAATATATATTAATATAATTAAATACATCATCATACTTATAATCAAATAATCTTACACCACACAAATACAACCTGTAATATGCGATCAATTAACTAACACGCTTAGTTGGAGGCGCCCTAATATTTGAAACCGTTGTTTCAGAGGGCCTATCAACACACTCTCTTTGCGGCCTCTGATGTTCTTATTGCATAGTACAGAGTTAGGAAGTATTGTGCATAAAGAAGAAAAACAGAGTTCGATAGAAAGTTGGGAGATGAAAAAGGTCAAAATATTGTGTGCATAATCTTTTCTTCCCCAGGTTCAATGGAGGCGACACAACGTCTACAAGGAGAAAGTTTGTTTGGTTGGGTTGCTAGCTGTTGCATGCGAAGCGAGAGAAAATGAGAGATTTTTGAGTGAAATCCATCCCAGATTTTAGAAATTGGAACATCATCGTATGCCATACCGGATGGGATCGGAGCAGATAGTGTGATATTCGAACTTGGCCCATCTATGCTACCATGCATATTTTGGGTTTCCCCATCCATGACTGGTATCCGACACTAGTGAGTTTACTCACGGGTTCATCGAGGTTGTGTGGGCGAACCCACTTTTATGTACCCATTGCCATGCCTAACTTTGGACTTGTTTCCTCAAGTTTCTTCCTTGCATAATGATAGAGAAGAGTAGGGTTGGAGATTGAGAAGAATTGGGAAGAAGAGTTAGGGATTTGAGAGAATTGGGGAAGAATAGGGAGAAGAGAGATTTAGGGATTCTGATATTATTCTTGCTTAATCCCAAATGAACGTACTCAATCCTCTTTTATGAGTTTCAGCAACTAACAGAGAAAATAACAAAAACGCCACTCCTGCCCGGCCAGCATGGCCGAACCCGACCCACCCTACCCGCCGAGCGGGTTTCTATCATCCCCTTCCCCATGAGAATCTCAAGGTCAAATGTTGGAAATCGCTGTCGTATCACGACCGTCTCCTCCCAAGTGGCATCCTCTCTCGCCATATGCTGCCACAGAATCAAACTCTCCTCCGTTACGTGTCCGCCCTTCTTCACCCATCTGGTATCCAGGACCTGCAAGGGGGTGAGCTCTAGATCCCCATCTGCAGACACCGGAGGGGCAGTTTTCTCCACTCGATCCGCTGCCCCCTGTAGCGCTTCAGCAAGGACACGTGGAAGGTGGAATGGATGCGAGCACCAGCTGGCAGCTGCAAGCAATATGCGACTGTGCTAATCTTCTGCAGTACCTCATAGGGTCCAAAGTATCGAGCTGCCAACTTATGGTAAGCACGGCGGAAGACAGAAGGCTGCCTGTAGGGGTGGAGACTAAGTAGAACCCAATCCCCCACCTCAAATTCCTCCTCTCGACGTCCTGCATCGGCCAACTACTTCATCTTATTGTTAGCGGCTGCCAGGTTGGCCTTGAGTTGCTCCAAGGCCTCATCTCGAGTCTCTAGCCATCGATCCACCGTATCTACCTGGCTGGTACCACTCTGGTAGCGGACTAAGGAGGGGGGTAGCCTCCCATACAGGGCCTCAAATGGCGTGGTCTGGATCGCCCTATGGTAGGTAGAGTTATACCATAGCTCGGCCCAAGGTAGGAGAGCCAACCACCATCTCGGTTGCTGATGGGCAAAGCAGCGCAGGTACTGCTCCAAGTAACGGTTAACCACCTCCATCTGGCCATCTGTCTGTGGCTGATAGGCGGAGCTCATCCGCAGGGTGGTCTGTGCCATAGTAAATACCTCCTGCAAAAAATGACTCAAGAAAACCGAGTCCCGGTCACTGACTATAAACCTCAGAAACCCATGATGTTGAACGACCCTCGACACAAACTGCTCTGCTACTGCCTGGGTCGTGTACGGATGGGCTAGGGCCATGAAATGGGCATATTTTGTCAGTCGATCAACGACGACGAACAATACCGTCTTCCCTCCGAAGGGCGGGAGGCCAATGATGAAGTCCATACTGATATCCTCCCACACCCGCTCTGGTACCGGCAAGGGCTGCAAGAGGCCTGCCGGTCTCAGATGAGATGCCTTGACCCGCTGACAGGTATCGCACGACGCTACACAATCCTTCACGTCCTGGCTCATCCGGGGCCAATAAAACTGGGCCTGGATCCTCCTCAATGTCCGCTCGACCCCTGAGTGCCCTCCAAATGGAGAGTCATGATACTCCTGCAGCACGGTCGTCACCATTGAAGATCCCGGCGGAAGAACAATGCATCCACGGAAGAATACCAGCCCCTGTCTGAAAGAATAATGACCTGGAACCTCACTGACTACTGTATCCCGACAACCCTGCAGGTAGATATCAGTATCTGTGAGAGCCCGTAATGCATCCCAGAACTGGGGCAATGGCCCCGTCACTGTCGCCAGAACTTCTCCTCCCGAGAGCCACGAGAGCCCGTCGGCAACGACGTTGGAGGGCCCTGGCCGATAATGAATCTCATAATCATACCCCAGGAGCTTCGAGACCCACTTGTGCTGGTCAGGAGTGGACACTCGTTGCTCCAAGAGATTCCTCAGACTCTGGTGGTCGGTATAGATGTGGAACTTCTGGCCTAGTAGGTACGATCGCCACATCTGTACTGCCGTGATAATCGCCTGCATCTCCTTCTGATAAGTAGACCAATCCTCCTTGGACGGGGCCAAGGTCTTACTCATATAGGCCACCGGGTGACGGTCCTGAGAGAGCACCGTCCAATGCCCCGGCCCGAAGCGTCGACCTCAATCACGAGGTCCGGGAAAAATCCGGCATGGCTAAGGTCGGGGTGGTCGTCATGGCCTGCTTAAACTGCTGAAATGCCCTGTCTTCATCCGGTGACCATGCAAACCCACCCTTCTTCAACAAGTTAGTCAAGGGTCGGGCGATCATATGTTGTACCCCTGTACAAACTTCCGGTAGTAAGCAGTCAACTCCAGGAACCCCCTCAGCTCTGAGACAGTGGTCGGGGTTGGCCACTCGACCATAGCCTGAATCTTCGATTGGTCCACCTGGACCCCCTGTGGTGTGACAATGTGACCCAGATACTCCACCTTCTGTACCCTGAATGCACACTTCGAAGCTTTGAGGTAGTACTGGTGGTGCCTCAATATCTCAAATATTGCCTGCTACTAGAATGTCATCAAAGAATACCAGCACATACCGTCTCAGCAGAGGTCGAAAGATGTCATTCATTGCCGCCTGAAAGGTCGAGGGAGCATTTCACAAGCCGAAGGGCATGACCAAGTACTCATAATGGCCATTATGCATCCGGAAAACGGTCTTGTGCGCATCCTCCTCTGTTATCCGAATCTGATGGTACCCAGCTCGCAGATCGAGCTTGGTGAAGTACGCTGACCCATGTAGCTCGCCCAGCATATCATCCACCGTCGGGATCGGAAACCGATCCTTCACTGTCGCGACATTGAGCGCCCGGTAATCAGTATAGAAGCACCAAGTCCCATCCTTCTTCTTAACCAGTAGCACCGGCGAGGAAAAAGGGCTGGTGCTCGGCCGAATCAATCCGGTCGATAGCATCTCCTCCACTTGTTGCTCGATCTCCTCCTTCTGAGAGTGGCCGTATCGATAAGGGCGGGCGTTCACAGCCTCCACCCCGTCCTTGAGCTGAATGCGATGATCAACCTGCCGGTGCGGCGACAATGTGGTCGGCGTCTGAAAGAGCTCCGAAAAAACAGCCAGGACCCGCTGGAGATCGAGGGCCAGCTCCTGGTTCTCCGTCGATGCCACCGGCCAACACATGACTGCCAACTCCGCCTCCACCCCGGTGATGCACTCATGGAGAGAAACCGGACCTAGGGCCGTGGTAAGCCCCTGCAAACACCACTCCTTGTCTCGCCATTTGAACCGCATGGTTAAGCTACGCCAGTCAGTGGTGACTGGTCCCAATCCCTGCAACCATGGAACACCCAAAATCATGTCAAACCCGCGAATGGGCAGCACAAACATATCCGTTGTGACGGGCAACCCTTGAATATCGAATGACAGCTCCCGATAGACCGTCTTGCACTGCATAGGTGCTCCATTCGCTACTCGGACCACCATCGGGTCCACCAAGCTTGGTGTCTGTGGAAGAAGCTTGGCCAGTTCCTCGCTAATAAAATTCAGGGTGGCACCACTGTCCACCAAGGCCAAGGTACCGGCAACCTAAGCTCGGAAACGGAGAGTCCCGGGTGTCGGCAGCCCGGTCACTGAATGGAGAGAGAGCGACGGAGCCGCCCCCTTCCTCGCCGGTCATTCGGTCGTCGCGTTCCCCTCCGACGCGCTCGGCGTCTCGCACGGCCCGACCTCCTCTCCTATCCGCGGCGACACTACCCGCCACACCGACTTGGCCGCCCCCGCCTGCCCGCGACGACACCCCCAGCCACACCGCCTCGGCGGCCCCTGGCAGCGGCTCCCGGGCGCATCCCTGGCCGCTCTGCCCGGCAGCGCCCCCGCGCGACCTCCTCCTACCGCCGACGGCCTCGACCCGCCAGCCGCACCCACCGGCGGTGCCTCTGCACCTCACCCTCGTTCGCGCACGACGCGGGCTTGGTCAGCCCTTATGGCGTCAATCCGTTGTTGCACATAGGTCCAGTCCAAATCAGAGAGCCGTATCGAGCTCATGACCAGGCTCTGATACCAATTGATAGAGAAGAGTAGGGTTGGAGATTGAGAAGAATTGGGAAGAAGAGTTAGCGATTTGAGAGAATTGGGGAAGAACAGGAGAAGAGAGAATTAGAGATTCTGATATTATTCTTGCTTAATCCCAAATGAACGTACTCAATCCTCTTTTATGAGTTTCAGCAACTAACAGAGAAAATAACAAAAACGTCACTCCTGCCCGGCCAGCATGGCCGAACCCGACCTACCCTACCCGCCGAGCGGGTTTCTATCACATAACCACCATAGCACTAAGTAGTAAGTAGACCAATCCGAACAACTTCGCTTTAGTCACTAATCTCTCTTTGTAGTTACGCTAACGAACTTTAAACATGACCAACGTTTATATTTCATTAGTGATGCGTACAAAACTTAGAAACAAATTCACCGTTGTAAAGACTTAAGACCATCACAATTGCTAGTGATTTCAACTTCATGGAGGCGATTCTCCTCCACCAATACAAGTCGAGGACAGGTTTGTGTAGTTAAGGATAGAAAAAAGGAATCAAACCCTAATGCTTTGCAACGAGAAAGAGTAGAATAGCAAAAGATGAGCCAGACAACAATGTAATGGCCCAAAAGGTGGAATGAAAAAAAACTTTAGAAAACCAAACACCCATAGAACGAAATGAAATAACGGTGAAAGGAAAATCCCGTAAAAAGGTGAAAACCAAACAATAACAATGGCGAAGAAAATTTTTACACAAATAACAGTAAACAACCCCTTTCCCCTCTCTGCCTCTCTCTTCCTCCCAAACTTAGAAAAAGGGAGAAAAATCTGACAGACACGAAGACACATTACTCCACTTTACTCTCTCTCTCTCCCTCTCTCATTTTCTCCGTTCGTACAAAACACGGACTGCCAGTTCCTCCATTTCTTTCCCTCTCGCGTTAACTAGTAGCTAGTCCTTCCTCCTACTCTTTCTTACATTATTATTCTTCTTGGGCTTTCTCTGCATGTTCTTCTGCTTTCTCCGTTCGGATATGAACTGACGGCAGCAGCAGTAGAGAATTAAAATCAGCTGCTGAAGAAGCTGCTCAGAGCTCTTCAATGGTTTTTAACCTTAAACCCCAAAAAGCCCAAAAAAAAAAACCCAAAGGCCTGGTCTTTCCTCTGCTCTAGTTTCCTTTATCGGAAACAAAACATAACCCAGTCACCTAATCTGAAAACAAAAGGAGAAAGGGGACCGTAGAAGCAGAAGAGGGAGGAAAGTCCTTTTCTTTTCCCGTCCCCTCTCCCTTCGATCATTGTGTATTGCGTTTATCTACGCACACGTATAGTAGCAGCTTGCCATACATCTTTAGATATGGAAGCAAGCAAGTAAGATCTATTTTTCCATAAATAAATAGTTTAATCAAACTCCATATATCTATTTTATATGTATATTCATATATGTATATGTAGTTGCTGCTGCTGCTCCTCCTAGTCTGCTCCTGCTTTGCATGTACAAGTTGCGGTCTCCAAATTCTGCTCCTTTGAAAATGCTCTGTACTCTCTGTTGAGAAGCCCCCAATACCCATAAAAGAAAAAGAAGAAAAAGAAAAACAGGGGAGCTTCTCTCTTTCCTTCCCTCTTTCTTTCCTTGGCAAGTTGTTTACCAAAATCGTACGGTGAGATCTGGGTTTCTTCTGAAGCTCAATTTCAATCCAGCAGCAACCAGGTGGTGGGTGTTTCTGTGGCTAGATCCGGGCAACTATTGCAATCTGAGGTTTGCTGCAGGGTGTTGAGGGAGGCAGGAACATCATCTGACAAAGTTGTGTGGTGCTTTTGGAGTTGAGGAAATGTGGGGGTCCAACTCTTGAAAGATTTATTGTTGGGGTTTTGAGTATTTTCATTCCCTCTCCTTTCATTTCTCTTCCTGGTGGTCAATCATTGCAATATAGTAGAATTTGCTGGGGGAGTAATAAGGGTTTGAGCAATATTGGCTGCGGATGAAGGTGAAATCGGTGGTCTTCTGTAGTAAAACCGGCTTCGGTTGAAACGAGCACTCAAGCAGAACAATAAGGAAAAAAGGGGAGGAAAAGGTGGGGTTTTCTTGTGGGATTTGTCTTCCAAATGAGGGGCTGCATAGTGGTGGATACAGTAGTGTTGGCTTTTGTTCTCTTTTCGTGGGATAAAATCGCTTGATTGATTCTTGCCAGTTTTTAGGGGAGTTGGCTTGTTGAAAAGGCAAGGAAGGGCGGAATAGAGAAGAAGAGGGTTGAAGGTTGTGCTGTATTCTGGGAAGATGAAGAAGAAGGTGAAAGTTGTGTGTGTGTGTTGATGTTCGATTGGTAGTGGTGGGGTTTTTTCCTTGTTTGGATCTTCTGAAACTATTTGTGAGGGGTTGAATCCAATTTGTAATCATGAGGCTTTCTTCAGCTGGTTTTAGTCCCCAACACAACCAAGAAGGTACGCCTCCTTAGCTTGTTTTCTACTTGTTTGAGGTTTTTGTTTTTTTTGTTCGTCTCCTCCACCTTCACTTGTCGACTCCATAGCTATTCAGCAACTAGAAGCTTTACAATTTTGTGTCTGGCACCCCGTTTTTACTGTAAAGGCGAAATCTTGACATAAAGTTTAGCTGGAGGATAGATTGTGGCATTAGATAGATTCTTTAAGGCCATTCAAAGTTTCCAAATTGGTGCAGATATCTTTATGATCTTGGCAGCGGTTGTTCTTCAAAGGGTTTTAAAGATGGCTATGGAAATGGTTTTCCTGCAGGTGAGAAGAGGGTTCTGAATTCTGAACTTTGGCATGCTTGTGCCGGTCCTCTTGTTTCGCTCCCTGCTGTGGGAAGCCGGGTTGTCTACTTCCCGCAAGGTCACAGTGAACAGGCAAGTTAATTCTCACTGTAATTGATTTGGCTTAAGTGGTAATTGTCTGTAAATGTTTTCTTATTTGGATTTGTTCTGCTACATAGGTTGCTATATCAACCAACAGGGAAGTTGATGCTCAGATCCCTAATTATCCAAGCTTGCCTCCACAGCTTATCTGCCAGCTTCACAATGTGACAATGCATGTACGGCTCAAATGGTTTAAGCTCAATTACGTACTTCTACACTTCTCTATTGGCTTGTTGCTTAAAGTTCGAAAACTTTCCTTTATTTTAGGCAGATATCGAGACAGATGAAGTTTATGCACAGATGACATTGCAGCCTCTGAGTCCGGTATGTATATAATGTTCTGATGGTGTTTTGATTTGTGCTAGTCTACATTGCTTGTAGAAGATTTGACATCAAGGATGTTTTACTTGACATTGTGTTTTGCAGCAAGAACAAAAGGATATCTACCTGCCAGCAGAGTTGGGTGCCCCTAGCAAACAACCAACCAATTATTTTTGCAAGACTTTGACTGCCAGTGACACAAGTACTCATGGAGGCTTCTCCGTTCCTCGTCGAGCAGCTGAAAAAGTGTTCCCTCCTCTGGTAATAATATGATTATTATTGCAAATTTAACGAGAATATACCTGTATAATTTTCTGAAGCTTGAGCTTGAGTAAGGTCGCCCTTTAACCAATGATTCTGAAATTTCAGGACTTTTCCATGCAACCTCCGTGCCAGGAGTTAATTGCTCGGGATCTGCATGATAACGAGTGGAAATTCAGGCATATCTTTCGTGGTGAGTTTTTTATGGCTTAAAAACATAGGTTGGGTTAACTTTAGAATGTGTGTTATTCTGTTAAGGAATAATAATTATGAACTGCTCTGTCATTTCAGGCCAGCCTAAGCGGCATCTGCTTACAACAGGGTGGAGTGTGTTTGTCAGTGCCAAAAGACTTGTTGCTGGCGACTCGGTTCTTTTCATCTGGTATACTGCTTTGCTTGAATTTCTATTCACATATTCATTTATCTAAGTTATTTCAATGCAACTTTTTCACATTCATTTATCCAAGATTCTTTCTTTTCGCCCTCTTCCAATCCAATCAGGAACGAAAGAAATCAGTTACTCCTTGGCATTCGACGTGCTAGCCGCCCTCAAACCGTGATGCCTTCATCGGTCTTATCGAGTGATAGCATGCATCTGGGACTTCTTGCTGCAGCTGCCCATGCAGCTGCAACCAATAGTCGTTTCACCATATTCTACAATCCAAGGTACAATGTTTTCTAAACTCAAATGAAAGAGCCAATTATATAGTGTTCTCTTTAAACTTTTTCATCTCCCTTTCGAGCAGGGCCTGTCCATCTGAATTTGTCATTCCACTGGCGAAGTATGTCAAAGCAGTCTATCATACTCGGGTGTCTGTTGGCATGCGCTTTCGGATGCTTTTTGAAACTGAAGAATCAAGTGTCCGCCGGTAGGTGCTACAAGCTATGTTTTTTCATTCTCCGCTTCTTAGCCAGTTCCACTGTCTATCTCCAACTCTCTTCTAGTTTCTGTTTGAATGAATTTCTTGCCATGAAAAGCATTGCTCTTAGTCTAACATCTATGATTGTCTGTCCAGCTACATGGGTACAATAACTGGCATAAGTGATTTAGATTCTGCTAAATGGCCAAATTCATATTGGCGCTCAGTCAAGGTAAATTGAGATCATTACATATCACTGTGTTGCTTGCTGAATGTATCTCTTAGAACTATTGTAAGTACTAGTAGTAATCCCCCAAAAACTGATGCAGGTTGGCTGGGATGAATCGACTGCTGGAGAGAGGCAGCCAAGAGTATCTCTTTGGGAGATTGAACCACTGACAACATTCCCAATGTACCCTTCCCCATTTCCCTTGAGGCTTAAACGTCCATGGCCACCTGGCTTTCCTTCTTTCAATGGTGAGCTTCTGTATTATTTATTTTTCCCACTAAGGTTAGTGTTCCTTTTCAAGTGTCCTTTTGTAACTCTCTCATATTGAAATTCAGGAATCAAAGATGAGGATCTGGGAATGAACTCTCCTCTCATGTGGTTTCGAGGAGATGGAGACCGTGGACTTCAAGGAATGAACTTCCCTGGAATGGGTGGTGTTGCTCCATGGATGATGCAACCAAGGCTCGACGCCTCTTCCATGCTTGGGCTTCAATCCGATGTTTACCAAGCCATGGCTGCTGCAGCTCTTCAGGAGATGAGAGCCGTGGATTCTCTGAAATCACCAACTGCTTCCCTACTGCAATTTCAGCAACATGACAATCTTCCAGCTGGTAGGACCCCATCGTCTTTGATGCAACAGCCTCAGATGCAGCAGCAGTCTCAGCCTGGACAGACTCTTCTCCAAGAGAACCAACTCCATGCCATCTCTCAGGCTCAGGTTCAAAGTCAGTCAAACTTCATTCAGCAACAATTGCAGCATCAGCAGTCATTCAACAGTAGTCAACAGCAGCAGCAGCAGCAGCAAAGGCCACAGCAACAAATACAGGTTGATAATCAGCAGATTCCAAATGCGGGTCATAATGGGCCTCAGTTTCGTCCTGCAGCAACATCTCAATACCAGTCACCACCATCCCAGCCCATGTCCTCACTGTGTCAGCAGCAGCAGCAGAGCTTCTCCGATTCTAGTGGGAACCACGTGTCAGGCCCTGTTGCTGTCTCTCCATTACACAGTCTCCTTGGCTCATTTCCCCAAGATGAATCATCATCCCATCTACTCAACCTGTCTCGAACCAGTCCCTTGATGAATTCTCCTTCTGATTGGCCGCCGTCCAAGAGAGCTGCCATTGAACCTCTGGTTTCGTCCGAAGCTCATCAATTCTCCCAGAATGCTGTTTCATTGCCTCCATTCCCAGGGAAGGAGTGCTCTGCAGTGGACGCAGAAGGTGGCAGCGATCCACAGAGCCATCTTTTGTTCGGTGTGAATATTGAGCCCTCATCACTTTTGATGGCTGCCAATGGAATGTCTAGCCTTAGGGGAGTAATCGGCAGTGATGGTGGTGATCACAGTGCTGGCTTGCACTTCTCATCTAATTACATGACCAACATGGGAACAACAGATTTCTCGCTTAATCATTCTGCAATGGCGGCCCAATCGAGTTGTGGTGTTGATGAGTCAGGGTTCATGCAGTCATCGGAGAGTTTGGGCCAAGTTAACAACTCATCAAGTGATACAAACTTTGTTAAGGTAAGAGTATTATAATATGCAGATGATGCTACTCTTGGAATTCCCTTTATGCATGATGAGTTTCTGCAACCACAAATTTGAACACCAATGGGGAAATTTTGCTGCTAGGTATACAAGTCAGGGTCCTTTGGTAGGTCACTGGATATCTCCAAATTCAGCGGCTACGACGAGTTGAGGGGCGAGCTGGCTCGGATGTTTGGGCTCGAAGGACAATTGGAGGACCCCCTGAGATCAGGCTGGCAGCTTGTAATTGTTGACCGGGAGAACGATGTGCTTCTTCTTGGCGACGACCCCTGGCCGTGAGTGCTTCTTTCATCACCTTGAGTATTGTTTGCTTCCCATTACATACCGAAATCATATATGCAAACTTGTTTTTTCGTCAAATGAACAGGGAATTTGTGAATAATGTGTGGTGCATAAAGATACTGTCACCACAGGAAGTGCAGCAAATGGGCAAACAAGGGCTGGAGCTACAGAGCTCGGTTTCAGCTCAGAAGAGGCTCGCGAATGGAAGCTGCGACGAGTTTGCAAGCCGGCAGGACGCGAGGAACTTGACCACTGGTATAAAATCTGTGGGTTCTTTGGAATACTAGATCAAAGAACCAAGAAGAAGAAGTCCATGTGTAGTAAGTTCTCTCTTTTTCTTCTTCTCTTAACTGCTTAGAAGAATGGGTTAATCCTATCCATGCAGTGTAATATCTAGGCGCCGCCACTGTCACGTATGTAGTAGTAGAGGCCATGAGTAAGAGAATGTCCGATCTTCTTTTAAGTCTATTGAAATGTTGTTACCGTAAGTCTGTAACTAAGTACAGTGGATTAGGACACCCTGTCCCCTTTTCCCCCCGTTTTTTTCATGTCTATGATGGGAATATACTTGCAAAATGGATATATTATGCATATCATTAGCAGGAAAAGGCTCCTAATTACATGCTGCTAAATCGAAAAGTAGCTGCCTTTTCTTAACTATCTGGATGTTTGTTTGATTGCCTGTTTTTGCCGACACAAGGGTACAGTTGGATTCATTCATTAGGGTGGTCTCAGTCACAGTAAATGAACAGTTGAAAAGGATGTTTGAGTTTGTCGGGATCGACTTGGGAGCTTATGAGTTTAGGGTTCGTGACAAGGACCTGCTCTACACGGCCACATGTCTATTATTATTGTGTGTGAATTGGGTCAGCAAAAGAGGGTGTGAAAGCAACATCTCGCTTTTCACAAGAGGAGGAGAAGAAGAAAGGGCGTGGCTTTAGGGTATGGGGGGACTTTGAAGGAGGAAGGAAGATGGAGGGTAGATAGTGGGTGTGTGGAATACACGGGATGATACTAAGGCGGGGATATCGGTTTCGGTTTAAATCAAAACCGGACCGATAAGAACGCGTTATCAGATTCGTTTTGTTATTATCCCAAATTGGTTCATACCTTATCGGTTTCTTGTTTAAAGTTTAAACCAAGCAACAGATAGGAAATCGAAAATATTGGGCGGGAGGTGAAGGGGATTTCGGTTTTTGATTGGGGGTGCAGGAAGTTTGATTTATGGTTTGTTCTAATCGAACATGGTACGGTTTAATCAGTTAACCAAACATTGGGGGTTCGGTTTTGGTTTTAGGGAAACAACCTAATTCAATTTTAGTCAATCAGTGGTTTAGGTTTGGTTAATCGAACCAACAAGCTTAGCTGATACAGTTGGATTATCATACTGCATCGTCTTGAGGGACTAATTTCAGGCTATCATGAAGATAGTGAAGAGGTTTGCGCGGGCTGATCCCTTCCGATTTGAATCAACACGATGGGACGGGATCAGTCCGTGGAGATTGGCCTCTTTTTTTCTTCCCTTTTGGTGTCCTTAGCTGGGTTGGGTAGGGCAGTGCAGTAGGGAATGGTGGTAATGTGGGAAAAGTGCCAATGCCATGTTGTGGGGGCTACTTAATAAAAGGGTTTGGGGAAGTGACAGAAAAGGTGGTAGGGTTTATGGGGCAGGGAGTGGTAGTAGAGAGGGCACTATCTCAAACCCATCCTTTTCAAAACAATCTTTGGGAGCTGAAGGGCACTCACTCACTATCTATCTATTCTCTCTTTCTCAATCACCCACCCATTAAATAATGGAGGGAGGGAGGGAGGTGTGGTGTTAGTCTAGTGGCATCTGATCCAAATCCAAGATTGAAAGTTTGTGTGTAAGGATGGCAATCAAATGGGGGAAATTGGCAAATCTAATAAGCAAGCTATTTTACTACCCCTCCACCCTTTTTTCCTTCTCCTTTACACACTTCCCTCCCACAAGGCCAAGGGCCCCTTTGTGCTTTGGCATTTTCTTTCTTGCTTTTGGGTAGTCAAAATGTTAGAATACTTTCCCCCTTCCCATTTCTGCTTTGCTTTTCTTCTTCGGGTTGATGAATAGTGGGATTCGTATTAAGCATGGCTCATCAGACACGATACGAGACGTAGAAAAAGTAAATTGTTTAAGTCAATGTACTAGGCAAGATACGGGATGTAGACGAAGTAAGTTGTTTAAGTCAATGTACTACAAACCGTAGTCTTAGCTACAAAGCGAACCCAAACTGAAGGAGGCAGGGACAAGACAAACGAAACTTAGCTATCATTAAGTTTCGAGTGACCGAAAACAAACGTCCTCGTGGAACTTACCATACTACTAGTGCACGTGAGCGTACGACCAAATGCATGACTACATCGTTCGCACCAAATAATACTCAACAACAATTACCAAGTTACCAACAAAGACATCAAACTCTGCATAGAGCAACACCAAATGGCTAGCACAATCGAGAGTACTCGTCCAATTCTGATTTGATCATCGTGGTTTAAAACATTCTAGAAGTATGCAGTTCAATTTGAGCATGCTTTCCTAGCAAAGTTGGATGCAAGCTTGTTATGCACGATTTGACAACGTGCATTATTTCATTTGCCATTGTTCCAATCTCACTTTCTGAGGTTTGATTTGCTTTGATGTTGTACCACAAAGTAGGTCACTTGCATCATGACATTATTGCATGATCGTATATTGACGGGAGCGGTTACGGTGAGTACTACTTTTTAGTAATTACCGTGGCTACTAAGGGTAGGAATGGTATTCTGGTGCTTATTGTTTTGGTAGTGATGCTAAATTTTATTGGTAGTGTTTACATTGGGTAAGAATAGTATTCCGATGCTTATTGTTTTGGTAGTTATGCTAAATTTTATTGGTAGTGTTAACATTGTGTTATTAGTGTATATCTGTTTCGATGGATTGATATTCAATATTGAAAATGAGTTGCTTGACCACTTCCAGCAATTAAACCATCGTAAGGTTCTGTGAGGTTTGGATTGGTAGTGTTAATCACTTTGTATGGCTGCACTGTAGGGGTGGGCATTCGGTCGGTTCGGTTCAAACCGAACCGAAATAATGTATACCGGATTTCCGAGTTCCATCAAACCTCAAACCGAATTCGAACCGAATTATAATTCGGTTCGGTCGGTTCAAACCGAATTATAATTCGGTTCGGTTTTGTATGAAAAATCGAAATTGTGAGGTTAGCTTGTATTTTTTCTCTTTCAAATGATTTTTCACCCCTAATGTAAACAATAAATATGCAATTAAATGCATCATCAATGATAAAATCAAACATTTCAACACATAACTCATAAAACACTAACATAATTCAAATATATATATATTTTTTATTTATTTAGAGGGAGGCAAACCGCCAGATTACAGGAGCACAAGGGCTACCCAATCAGCAACAGAGGCAAAAACAAAGAAAACCAGCTAAGGTGATCAAAAAAATCAAACCAGCAGCAAGATCAAGGACCGGTGTTCTGAGGTACTCGACGAGGGAAGCTCACTCCAAGGATATCTTCCCGGCAGATCCTTTCAAGCTCTAAAGGGGGTCGTCCAATTCATACGTACCAAAGGGATAGACGAGACTGTGCTTCGAGAGCCAGTCCGCGACTCTATTCCCTTCACGGTATGTATGAACTAAGCGAACCACCCATTCCTTGGCCAAAAGAAGGCGAATGGTACCGAGGATCGTGGCATAAGGATGGACATTATCAGTTCTCTTCTCAATCAGATGTAAAGCAAGCTGAGAATCAGACTCAAGGATGAGAAAGCGTGTCCCTTTTTTCCAAGCAAGCTCCAGACCTTTCAGAATACCCCATAGCTCAGCAAGCAAAGCTGTACCCGAACCGATTTTGCTGAGGAAACCACCAATCCAGTTTCCGTTGTGATCCCGAAGGGCTCCTCCAGCAGATACGCAGCCTGGGTTACTCTGAGCAGCTCCATCAGTATTTAATTTGTGCCATCCCGCCGGCGGCTTTGACCAGCCAATCATGGTATCCACCTTATGATGAGAAGACTCTGTGATCAACTTCTGCTTAGCCGATTCCCAAGTTCTAGCCCACTCGGTTGCTTTTGCAGTAACGTAATGGTGAAGGGAAGTAGTAGTTAATTTGATACCTTTGAAAATTCCTTCATTCCTGCACTTCCATAGATACCAAAGGATCAAGCTGAAGAAACTACTCCACCTCCCCGGCCAGTTCCCTATAGAATCGTCCATAACATTGGTTTTAATCCATTCTTGATGAGGCATGCTATAAAACAAACTCATACGTTGTTGATCAAGATTTTTGTCCCACACAGCTTTGGCCTTCTTGCAGTCCCGAAGGCAATGCAGATTTGTTTCCGGGATACCAGAGCAGTCCGGGCAGGAATCATCATGGGTAAGGTGTCGTTCCTTCCTGATGCTGTTGGTAGTGAGCTTTCCCTGCACCGCCATCCAAATGAAAACACGAACCCTCTCTGGCACCTGTAGTTTCCAGATACGCTTCCAAACAGGATCTGGCTGCTGCACTTGAGAGTGTTGATTAGCTTTGTAGGCTGATTTAACAGTAAAGTGCCCATTCTCTATAAGATTCCAAAAAGGACGGTCTTCCTCAGCAGCAAGAGGGTCAACTATCGCAGCTCTAATTTTGTCCACGATCTGGTCCGGCAGGAGGTGTTGAAAGTCTTCAATCTTCCAGCCATGGTCAGGATCCCACATATCAGCAACTCGGAATAGCTTTTGATCTTCCGGCACGTCGGCAGTAGCGAGTTCAATCAGGGGAACCTGCATAATCCAGGGGTCAAGCCAGAAATTAGTGCGTTTTCCATTTTTAACATTCATGGCTAAGCCTTTCTTTAGCACATTGGCAGTGGAAATAAAGCTTCTCCAGGCGAGAGAGCTTCCCTTTTTATTCTGAAGGATGTTGATCCCCTCTTTGTTTCCACCATACTTGTCCAGGAGCAACTTGGTCCAGAGAGTCTTCTTTAGTTATTAATTTCCAGCTGCCTTTGGCCAACATCGCCCGATTAGCATGTCGTGTAGGCCTAATCCCAGCTCCTCCCTGAACTCTGGGGATGGTCATCTTCTCCCAAGTGACTGGGTGAAATTTGGATTTCCCCTCTTCTTCACCCCAAATAAACTTCCTGTTAATCCTGTCCAAATCATTGCAAACAGACACATAATTCAAATATTTAACTCTCATAATAAGTACAAACATAAAAATTCACCATTATGAACTTGCAATTATAGTAATTCGGAAATTCGGTTCGGAATTCAGAAATTCGGTTCGGTCGAAAGAACCTTGATTTCCGAAATATACCCTTTTCTCTTCCGAATTCCGAACCGAAATAAGGTTATTCGGTTTCGGTTCGGTTTAAATTCGGTTGGTTCGGTTAGGTTCGGTTTTACCGAACCGTATGCCCACCCCTACTGCAATGGTAGTGATCTGCATTGGTAGTTGTCTTAAATCTATACAGATTGTATTGGTACAAATTTCATATTGGATTGATTCTGGTGGTATGAATTGGATTGGTATTGTGATTATCATTATTGAAATGGTATTGATTTTGCCTTATTGTGCAACGTATTATTGTGTCTGATTAGTTTGGTATGAATTTCATTCATTGCAAACATACCAATTAACACACAAAAAGTCCAATGAACACTACCAAAACTCGAACACTACCATTGCAAACACTACAATTGCATAAAACTCACTACCATTGCAAACACAACAATTGCATAAAACTGGAACACTACCATTGCAAACATACCAATGAACACTACCATTCCACGCCAAGCTATACATGTGAGAAGATAACTACCAAAACAATAGATCACTACCAATGCATCAAATCTCGCCAATAGCCGACTCAGAATCCGGAGGAGGTGAAATCAACCTCGCGGGTGCGCCATCTTCACCATACAGAGAAACAAATAGTCGTCGTCGCGGGAAACGATACAAAGCCGTCGAACCCCTCGCCGATTCACCGTCCGAGAAACAGACAGTCGCCGACCCGGAGAGAAAGATAGCGGCGCTGTCGGCTGCACGGGGTCGTCTTCGACTGCACGGAGTCATCATTGTGGGTTGCACAGAGTCATCGTCGTCGGATGCACGAAGTTGGCGGCGGCTGCACGGAGTAGGCGGAGCCATGGATTCATACCATTTCAAATCATACTTTTGCTTTCTCTTTGCCTTTCTTTGGATGTTGGTTCTGCCTTCCGCCACTACTCTGCTTCTCACTCTCGTTACATCCATGTATGTATATATATATACTTCATGGCACTCTCTCTCAAACGATGATGTGGAACGGAGCCACCTAATTCGCGGTTGGACAACGACGGATGGCGGGGTTTTTGGAACGTGGAGGCGGAAGTCGCTGCTATTGGAGGGGTGTGTCATGGCTGGTGGAGGCGGCCGGCGAGGCTACCGCTATGGTAGTGGTGGAGGCGGCCGGTGGATAGAAGTAGGGTTTGGATGAGAGAGGGGGAGAATTAGGGTTTAGGTAGAGCATATAGAATAATCAGGTGTGGTCTTTTTTTTTTGTTTCCAATATTACCCTGAAGCAATTTTAACCGTGAGATTAAAAAAAATAAAAAATAAAAAAAATAGACGGAGGATACTGAAGTAGCCACGGTGGCTACTAGAATTCTAGTTTCCACCCTAACCCATCCCGTATATTGACATTACATCATTATAAAAGTTCTCCATATTGTTAGAACTTAGAACTTAGAAATTATGGATCACAATTGTGATACACGTTTGATGGGTTACAAGTTAAACGAATTGTTTGGCAACAAATATTTCATTCACAATTCCAATTAAATTTTGGTTTAATCTGGTATAAATTGAGCGAATCAGTTCTTCTTCACAAATTTATCGATGTACTAAAAACATGGATTATACTGATCGGATTATGCCGGATTATGATAGGCAAAACATTCCGTCAAGAGAAAGGGGGAAAGATCTCCTCTTGTCTAAACTTAATTAAATTATTTTTTGACGAACTTTTTCAAAAAGGAAAATTAAGAGAGAGAAAGGGAGAGGATTGTCACATTCTGGACAAAAGCTCACGTACTAAGGTCTCACATAATGATTAATTAATTAATTAGAGTTGGGGCTTTAATTGCCAAAAAAATTCCAATAGGTTGCCAACTTCTTTAAGATTTGTTAAGTTAATAATATTTGTTTCCATGATTTGAGGACGAAAGCAATGGATTTTAGAGAGTGGATTACTCTATTTCAAATAATCGACTAATCCAGTAATCGACTATTCGATTATGTGAAATCAAGTAATCGACTTCTCTAAAACATAATATACGAACAAGGGCTTGACCTAGTGGTAATACTATTAGTCTAAAACCTGGAGGTCCCAGGTTCGAATCTCTTAAGTAGTACATTAATCACAAATTGAAACTTATATCACTGTTATCCAAAAAATAATAATATCAGCCAAAATATTATAAAAAATAAGAAATTAAGAAGGAATATGGAAGCGATGGAATAAATTAGGCGGTAATAAGGGCTCGAGATAAGGTGCATAACTCATGGTTATGCACCCATCAATAACTAAATCCGGACTATTCATTCAAAAAATCCAAATGTAAGGGTGGAGAATTAAAGATTTTTTTATTTTTCCTATTTTCTTAATCGGCTCATATCTTCTTCGTTTAAACTCGGATTTCAATTTTTTGGCAAAGATGGAACGAGTTCGCTGTGCTCTACAAAATGAGATCCATTTTCAATATTTTTTTAGGAAAAAAATTATTGCCTCTCGGTACCACTACATACCATATGGTATCTTCTTCGCTTTTAATTTGTTTTTTAAAAATTTTGCACTGAAGGAGCGAGTTCATCATGATCTATTGGATCTACAAATTTCTGAGTGAACAAAATACAAGACCAAAAAATACCACACAATACCACCCCTTGTACGAGGTGATATCTTGTGGTACACATTGTTAAAAGTCATAAATGATAGTTAATATACTTGTACTATCATGTATTCAACCATCCTACAGTCTTGGTTTGTTCATACCACCATGATGTGCTTTTCATACCATAGGTATGCTCTTATTTCAATACCAGTAAAAATACCATATGGTATAGACTGGTAAAAAAGGCTCAATTTTTTTGTTCCAAAAATATATCAAAGTGGATATCATTTTGAAGAGCACAATTAATCTAATCTAACTGTGCAAAAAAAATTAAATTTCGACTTAAAACGAGTGAGAAATCGTCCGTTAAAAAATTAAATTTCGACTTTAAGAGAGAGAGAATGAACGTTGATGTGGCGGATTCTGATTGGGTTATGCATAGTTATTCACCACAGGGTTATTGCTAGGATAAGCTCCCGATAATAAGACCACAATTCATTCTATTACAAATTCAAGCATTAGTAACTTTGCACCACAATTCACCAAGGGGGAAAAACCACACGGTTTGCCGTTCATCATTACTGAGAACTTCGCTGAGGAAATCAACTCTCTTATCCAACCTATCCATTGCGGACAAAACCCCAGCTTATCGAAGATAGCAAGTGAAAAAGGTCATTCGACTCTATCATATGCCTTTTCCATGTCAACCTTGAGAGTCATAAAGCCTTTTTTCCCTTGCCTCTTATTCCGGAGATAGTGCATAACTTCATGGCTGATAAGGACATTATCAACTATTTATCATCTGAATCGCTAAATGTCGCCCTAAGAATTGCTAAACGTCGCCCTAACTTAAATGTAAAATTACTTATATACCCTTAAGCAAAAATTCAAAATTGACTTAAACAAACAAGCCCTTAGCAATTCAAATTCATTCTCCTCCCCCCTCAACTCCTCTCACCCGCGACTCCTCTCACCTGTCAAGCAGCCGCCGACCTATCTCGCGCCGCCGAATCATCTCGCCGATCTCGACCGCAAGTCGCCGCCGCCCGCCAGTCGCCGCTCGCGTCGTCACTGCTCGTCGCCGCTCGCGTTGTCGCCGCTCGCGTCGTCACCGCTCGCGTCGTCACCGAAGAAGGTACTGAACTGGCCCCGCGGTTTGAGCGACGGTTGACCGCTGTCAACGCGCGGTTGAACCGACGATCAACCAACCGCGGTCAACACGCGGTTTGACCATCGGTGTAACCGCGCGTTGACCGCGGTTGACCGTCAGTTCAACCGCGGTTTGACCTTTTTTATATTCTGTTTTTTTAATTTTGTGTTTTTATTATTCGATAAATGTTAATAATAATAAAAATGATTAAAAATATACTTAATAAAAATAATTTAGTTATATATTTTGTCAATAATGATATAAAAAAAATTTAAAAACGTATTCGATAAATGTTAATTAATGATAATAAATTTAATGAACATTATTAAAAATTAAAAATGTGTTTTTATCATTTTAATAATCAAAATTTCATAAGTAATTCGTTTATCTACTTAATTATTAATAATTTTATCTTGATTAATTATTTACTTTTATGTAAATAATTATTACATAGAACGTAACATAAATGTTAAAAGTATTAGTTTTATAATTTTAATTATGAAAATCTTAAATTAATTACTTTATGTACACCATTATTAATAATTCAAACTTTTTTTTGAAGATGTCTGGACATGGAATGGGTAAACCGGATATGATTAAGGCGAGAAATAAGGAGAGAATGGAAGGTCGTCAGTGTAGACTTACGGCGACTGGTAGGAAGGAAAATGAAGAAAAAAATCCACCTAAGGTTAGAAGGAAGAAGAAGAAGGCGGATGTAGTGCGTCCTGACGGCCACCCTACTGTGGGGCAATTCTCTCTTAGTCGAGGTACTACCAATACTCCTACACCAGAGAGCGCACTGGTATGGCAGGCTAATTGGAGTGATTCCATTGACGAGGATGATGATGACGGTGATGCTGAGGTTGGGAATGCCCCAGATGCTGGTGATGCTGAGGTTGGGGATGCCCCACCTCAAGCTGATTTAGGCGTGGGGAAGACGGCGAGGGTCGGGATATCTTCTACTGCCTCCTCACACTTCCGTGGGCCTGATGGACGCTATGCGTCCAGACCTAGTAGCGAGGAAGGCGGAGATGGAAATAGGAAGAGGAAGACCACGAGGAAAGATATGACGTGGCTTCTTACATCCGAGTCTCCGATGTGTTCGGGTGGACCGGTGATTCCCGATGTGATCCCTAGCTTTGGAGGTCACATTGGCTTTGTACTGTGGACTTCCCCTGAGCAGGACCGTGGAGTGTTGGACGGCTTCCATAGGCCGAAAGCTTTAGAGGCTTTGAGGCGATATAAGTGGAGTGCAGAGGGTTCCGAGGAGATGGTTGAAGCCACATGATTGTCTCACTTGACAGGGTGCCTGATGCAGCATTTAGACATGGCTCTACTGTCGGCATTTGTGGAGAGGTGGCAGCCGGACACAAACACCTTCCACATGCCGTTTGGAGATATTTTGATCCTTCTACATGATGTGCATCACATTCTTCGTATTCCGGTTGATGGAGAGCTGATGGTAGATGAGGCGTCGCCGGATATTCTTAAGTCAGACATGGGTGGTCTAGTTCGAATTTCGGTGGATGCTCATGTTGGTGGTAAATGGAAGTCTAAGTGGTACAATAATGGTGCTATGCATGCAGAGGGATTGTTGGTGCGTAGGGAAGAGCTGAAGATTAAGGAGATGGGAGGTGCAGTGTTACCTATTTGTGTTACTGGGATCCACACTTTTTGTGGATAAGAGTCGTGATCGCCTTCGTCCTGCGATCAACTTGTTTCTGAAGGATCATCAACGATTGACTTATTACGCTTGGGGAGCTGGTGCACTAGCCTATCTCTACAGACAGTTGGGAGTGGCCACACGAGCGGGTAGTAAGGGTCTTTGTGGTTGTTTGACCCTGCTTCAGGCTTGGATATATGAGTACTTTCCTCTATTCCGTCCGAGTCAGCTGCCGCAGTCTCCGGATGCACCTCGTGCTTCCTCGTGGATTTCTCCCCGTTTGCTAGGTGGGGATGATGCTAGACAGAGGTTAGCACGTTATCGACAGTTGTTGGATAAGCTTTTAGCTGATGATGTGACTTGGACTCCGTACGGACGAGATGGCCACACAGATATACCTCGCTCCTTGTTTACTGGCCCCATTCGCTTTTCTGACATTGCTGAAGGATACGATCCTGCACGTTGTCTGCGCCAGTTTGGATACCGACAAATTATCCCCCGTGCTATGATGGTACCACATGACCAGTACCGTCCAGCTTCCGGCAGCAGTTACATAGTCTTTTGGGATCCGTGGGTGAATCAGTTGTGGGATAACGTGGCAGCCCATCGTCTAGATTTGAATTTTGCTTCTCGGCCGTGCGAGCACCCATCGGAGATAGTGGAGGAGTACGTTGACTGGTTTCTGACTAGATCGCACCCACGGATCTCCCACCCCTGCTCTGATGGGGTGCCTCATCCTCGACCACTACTAATTCATCAGGTTAGTTATGACTTTCTTTTGCTTTTCCAAATAGAAAGGACATTTGTTATTTATTCTAACATTGTTTTCTATTTACAGTTGAGAGAGCAGATTGTGGATCGTCTAGGTCACATGTTGCTGACGAGGGACCGGAGTAAGTGGGAGGAGGACGGTGGTAAGTTCTATGATATGGTAGCTGGGGTTCACGAGTTGTACTACTAGTTGGTAGGGCAGCCGCCTCAGTAGACGATTGTGTTTTTTATTTGTCATCGTTTGTAGTTGAACTGAGACTATTGTGCTTTTCATTTGTCATCGTTTGTAGTTGAATTGAGACGATTGTGCTTTTTATTTGTCATCGTTTGTAGTTGAACTGAGACTATTGTGTTTTTTATTTGTCATCGTTTGTAGTTGAATTGAGACGGTTGTGTTTTTTTACTTTAGTTACATTCAATGCATTGCTAAAATAGTTAATCAACATGGTAGATTACTAAATGTTTCAACAATAGAGAGTTATACAATTCGTAAATATACTTCCAATCGTCATCCCCGTGGGTTCAAACTATCATAAAGCGCACGCTTATGTAAGAAGAATTGATCCCACCCATTGACACTAGGGTCATCAAAAATAGGCCAAAGGCCATTAATTGGAGGCATGGGCACTTGACCATGTCGAAAGTCAAGTGAGATAGGTTTCGAGTGGTGGACGTCCTTGGGCGACCGGGGCGGAGCTGTCCCCCATGCGGTTCATCAATGCCATCATTTTCAGGATGAAGATGGCTTCGGAGTAGGCCGATTGCACCTCGAATGGTCTCGTCACCTCTATCAAGAATCTCATGTACTAGACCTTGGAACACACCACGGAGGTAATCACTATGGTCATCCCACTCCGGCCGAGTAGGAGGTTCACGATAGTTGATAACAGTCCAGAATGGCAACACATCATACAAGGCGAAATCCCGATTTTCACGTCGTGCTAACTGAATGGAACATCTACATGGGAGACCATAGGTAGGACGAAACGTACATGTACAAGGTTCCCCTTCCACTGCTACCTCGAACAACATCAACCTCAGAGCTTCTAGAGTGACTTTCGTATTCAACTCTCGAAATGGTTTTCCATCCGCTCAGAGCAGCTTCTTTTGTCGGGAATCCTCTAGAAGCTTCCTGATTTGAAGGTGTTGAGCCTCAATGTAATCATCGTTCTTCTTGAATACCCACAGACAATGAAGAACAATTAGGAGACTACTAAAACTTATGTGTGTATCAATGAAGATTTATTAGGAGACTAACCGTGTCGACTGCGCCAGTAGATGATTGAAGCCACTTCTTGAAGGAGGAATGGGCAGCTTCAACCCTATTAGAGCTTGTGTTACCCAAATGCCGCACTTGATTGGTATAACATTTAGCCCACATGTGTCTAACTGGTAACCACTCAGCTGCCATATACCCCCAAAGACGTCGGTACTGTACTCCCCAACTACGTCTGAAATTGTCTAAGGCAGTATCCATGTCTTCCACTGTCAATGCATATACAGCACGTTGCCAAGACGCCATGATATGATCCACTATCGGTTTGGCTGCATCTATACCACAATGAGTCGTCCTTCGCACCTCTGCTAGACACTTTGCTCTCACATTCCTATCTATATGCCAAAGACATAATATATGAGTCGATGATGGAAACATTACCCCCACGGTCTCAACCAATCCTCCTGCCTTGTCACTGACAAACACATCTGGAACAATGGGGCCAAGAATATGTTGCAAATGCGTCAGAAGCCACTAGTACGACTCCTTCGTCTCGTCGTACACTATTGCAGGTGCAATGACAAAGTTCAATCCCACTGGTGTCATGCCGACAATCTCAACCCAAGGCATATCATACTTATTGGTCTTGTATGTTGCATCTATCACGATCACGTGGTGCCAAGCTCGCAACATCACTATTCACTCGGGGTGGGCTAGGAACAAGTGTGTAAGCACGTTACGATCGTCCATATACTGCACATAGTAACCCTTCTCCTTCGCCACGCGGAAAGTATACTGTAAGGCTGTCATCTGACCAAGCTCTTCTTTCCTTATCTTTTGCAACTCGTTATAAATCTGCTTTCTGTTGTGTTCCATTTGCACCTTTTCTCTTATTCACTGCCTTGTGGATATTCCTTGGTGGGACACCGGCTGATCTCAGCTCTCTGATGTATTGCTTATCCTCTGTAGTCAAAACATTCCTTCCCTTTGATCCATCCGGAAATAGCTCCAACTGATGATTGTGGAAACCCAAATTAGCACCAGGATTATTTGTATTTGCCACCCCTAGGATCAACCAATATCCATCACCGGACCGCTCAAACTTGATCTAAAACTCGCACCCCAACTTTTCAGTAGATGTAAGAGGCCTCCTTTCCTTACTAGGATCAGGTTCCTTCGACTTCTTCTTCCTACCATGAGTGCAATGTAAGTAATGTCGCCAAGTACCTTCATTCTTATTTTTTTTGTTCGATGCCCTCACCAAATAAAACCCAAAACCCTTGGCAATCTCAGTAGCTGCTTCATATGCTTGCAACTCCGTAGTGTATTTCACGCCATCAATGAAATCCGAGGTGTAATCATGGCCATCCGGATTGTAACTTACAATATCCTGCAATGTTATCAGAATTTATAAGTGATACCCCACAAATTAAAAAAAAACTTAACATTCTATATCGTCAATTTAAAGAG